CTGTAGCCTTGTGAGTGATGACCAGTTTCCTTAAAATCTTTTTTCTATAGGCACCTTTAAAAGACATCTCCAATCCTTATACGCTCAGTCCAGTATCTCTCCCCACCCCGCCACGCTGGACTCTTTCTTTTTAATGAACCACAGATGATTCAATAGAACCAGTGCGGTTGACCCACTGCGGCCCTCTAGATATTGCTGGACGACAACACCCATCATCCTTGTCTATTGATTTTGCTGGCTGGGGATGAGGAGAGTTGACCAATAACTTCTGGAAAGCCAACCCTACAGAAAGAGGAAAAGGCAGTAGACTTAAGCAGGGAGATCCAGTTGGTTTCATCAATAAACTTACTCCCATCAGTGACATTTTAATGACTACTCAGCACTCATTGCACTTTGGAAGTTGTTATGTTGAATGAAAGTCAAGAAACCACATGAATATCCCTCTGGAGAGCTTGTGTGTCGGGAGCATGGGCCAAATTAGGTGTGATGCCACCACGCATTTTATTTTGAGAAACATGTTTTCAAACACCTCTTTTGTCACATTCACACTTGTAGGTGTAAACTTCAAATAAAAAACGATTAGGTGTATAGCTTTAAAGCACATGCACTCTAGGAAGAAGCCCTTGGCAGCCTAGGGTGGTGATGAGCAATGCATAAATGACAGCGGGGAATGGGTGCTCATTTGAGCAATCAAACACTGGTGTTGCATCAAACACCAGTGCCAGCTGGTGCCCATTGTTTGTGCATGGTGAGAGGCAAAGACAACTAATTCTAGTTTTATCCCCATCCTCCTTTCTGCTGAAGTCTACAAGGGCAACACTCACCATAAGAACGGGGAAGCTGATAGGCAGTGCCAGCCCCTGGGTTGGTTGTAAGAACAAAACCAGGAAAGTGGGAGCTGCCTGGGCTTGTTGGGCCAATGCCCAATGCATGTTTGCCTTAATGGAGCAGCCTCTACTGTCAACCACTCAAATGCTTCTCTGCTGAATACTCTCCTGTTGAATATTCATGCACCTGTTACCATAGCCGCCTCCTCTGACCAGGTGCATCCATCATCACTGCTTCCTCACTACCTTCTCCCTGCCTTCTGCTGCTTCCAACTGCATCATTACTGATTCATTGAGAGGAAAGAGGCCATAGAGGGTGCTGGGAGTGTCAGATTCACATTAGGGATTCTGCTGGGGACTGGGAATGCCCACCTGCAATTCAGTATGTTATTTTCACTGATGAATGCTTTTTAATGCACATTTTGCCCTAATATACACACTTTCGTCTGTCTGTTTTGGTTAGAGAGAACTGCAGATTTCAAAGGGTGGCTGGGTTTCAGTTCCCATATAATTTCCGCAGTTCCCATATAGTTTCCACCCTGCTGCCTTCGTTGCCTCTGCCATCAATGCCAAGGTATGTTTTTGGAGCAGAGAAAGATGGTGGATGAGGGGTGCAAGCACAATTAAAGTGGTTGGGGGCAGGGGCAGAGGAAGGGGTGTGTGGTGGGGACGGGCAGCCCCAGGTGTCACCACTGGGGGAGTGACAAAATGCCGGGCGGCACTCACCGGGTGGTATGCAGTGTGCCCGAGCCATACGTCTCTCCTAGGAGTGACATGGTGCCTTGGGCACCGGCAGGCTCCGCGCTGTCCTAAACAGTCCGCCCACTCCCTCCCCCTCAGTTGTAGGGCGGCTGAGTGGAAGGAGGCAGGCAGATTCTTCAGAGGCTCCACGGAGAGTCCTGCTCTGCCTGGCCCCGCCCCAGGAACCCGATCGGCTTGCTCTGCTGCTGGTTGGGGGGGGGCAAGCATGGGGAAATGGCAGAGGTTATGCTGGGTGAAGATGGGAGCAATCAGCTTGATGTGGCCATCACCATTCCACTCACCAGAAATTCAAACACATATATAGGTGATTGCATCCCTTTCTCAAATTCTCCTTGGTACCAGCAAAACTATATCCTCCAGATAGAATTCTTCTGGCATGAGTATTTCAACAGATGTCAAGAAGCCATGACTCTGCAGCACATGACTTCTCAGTGGTAAGGATGGGGAAGAAATTTGGTTTAGTTCCCATTTTAATGTGAACCTATCTCATTTGCACTTCTGGAAGCTCAGTGCTTTTTTCAGGGGGTACTCAAGGGTACACAGTACCAGCACCTCTTTTTTGTTGTTAAAAAGTGTGGCATTTACTGTAACAACTTCATGGTGAGTACTGGCACCTATTTTTCTAGAAAAGAAGCACTGCATAAACTATATGGGAACTGAAACCCAGCCACCCTCTGAAATCTGCAGTTCTCTCTAACCAAAACAGACAGACGAAAGTGTGTATATTAAGGGGAAGTGTGCATTAAAATGTATTCATCAGTGAAAATAACATATTAAATTGCATTATATTAGGGTGAAGGTTCTTACAAAACAGCCCTGGGAAAACTGCATATAAAATGTGTATATTAGAATATATATGCATTAAAATGCTGGTGAGAATTCATGAGGACTCTTTAATGAAATGCAAATTGTTGGGGATAGGTGGGGAAAACTTAAGTCTGGGAAAATAAGAGTGAGAAATCAAGTATAACTACAGCTTCTGTTTACTCACTGCTGCCATTTGGTGGCATAATAGTATAACTGCAGCCTTTTCCCAACAGGTTTAGAGCAACCGATGAAATGTTACATCCCAAAATAGAACAAGGAAATACCTGGTTCCACAAATCGCCTGTATTTCAGCTGAAAGCTTCTTTTCCACAGGTGCATTTGATAAGTACAAGCCACGTGACAGATGCCAGATGTTCTTGTTTTCGTTTTGATTATGTATTGTGTGGTTTTATATCGTGATTTTATCCTGTGAACTGCCCTGAGACCTGTTGGTATAGGACGGTATCCAGTTTTTAAATAAATAAATAAAAAAATAAGTGATTCTAGGGTGTTCATTGTCCTCTTATATCGAAACCGTGCCCCCCCTTTGCCAAATCCATAGCCTGCATGTTTGTGACTCATAATATATAAGCTTCTGCAACCTTGTGCACTGTATCTCTTTGTGGGATGCTCTCTTTGGCCCTCAGGGACTGTTGTAAGTCTGAGAGCAGTGGAGAGGATTCTGAGGGTTGAAGGTCAGAGAGAAATAATAATAATAACAACAACAACAACAACAACAACAATTATCAACAACAACAACAACAATAATTTATTCTTTGTACCCCACCCATCTGTCTGGGTTTCCCCAGCCACTCTGGGAGGCTTCCAACACAGCTTAAAAATACATTAAAATGTCACACATTAAAAGCTTCCCTGAACAGGGCTGCCTTCAGATGTCTTCTAAATGTCAGGTAGTTGTTTATCTCTTTGACATCTGATGGGAGGGCGTTCCACAGGGCGGGCGCCACTACCGAGAAGGCCCTCTGCCTGGTTCCCTGTAGCTTTGCTTCTCGCAATGAGGGAACCGCCAGAAGGCCCTCAGAAAGATTGAAGGAATGAGAGAAGGAGGTAAAAAGGAGCGATCTGTGGAGAAGAGAGTAGCAGCTGCCTTCTGCACTCAGGCACAGCATTTGTTCATCAGTGGTTCCACTGCCAGAGTGTGTGGCAGAGCCCAAGGCACTCAACACTTACACCCCAAGGTGTATGCAGAGTGATTCTGAATGCTCACCTTAGCCTAACTCCATCCAACCCTCCTCTTTTTATTTATGTAGCACCCTCTCTGTGTAGGGCATTATGCAAAGAGAAGTTATGAGAGGCCAGCAACATACCGTGTGACAGCAGAGGAAGGGAGAAATGAAAGCAGCATGTGGTAGGCAGGGGAAGAATTTGCAGTCAACCCAACTGCACAGGCTTTGCCTTCACTACGGTGATGGGGGTAGCCTGCGACCCTTGTCCAAGTGTTGTTGAACCACAGCTGCCATCACCATTACCCATGCTGGAAGTCAGAGACCTATCACATCTTGAGGGCTACTGACTGCCCAGCCCTGGACCTAAGTTATAGGGACTCAGAGGGTGAGGGAAGAGAAGATCCAGGGCAAACAGAAGGGAAGTAGCATATGAGCCAATTCCTAGGGGCCGAGGGGGCTTCGGCTCCCCAATAAGATATTTAAAGGAGCTGGACCACCCCCTCCAAGTTGATGGGCACTGCCATTCAAGTGAAGTGCATGCACAATGTCATGTGATCGCTTATGCAGGGGCTTACCTGGGCCCCCGCAATATTTTATTCCAGTTGGCACCTCTGGGAAGTAGAGAATAGGCAGGGGTGAGGAGAGAAACAAGGAATAAGAGAAGAAAGAGAGGGCCGTCTTCTCCTGCCACACCCTTTGAGAGCCACTGTTTATGGAAGTTTCTAATGACTGATGTTTTAATGTATTTTTAATCTTTAGTTGGAAGCCGCCAGAGTGGCTGGGAAAACCCCAGCCGGATGGTCGGGGTATAAATATATTATTATTATTATTATTATTATTATTATTATTATTATTATTATTATTATTATTATTAGTTTCAGGAGCGTGGAATATTTTGCGACAAACCGGGCGTGTACCAAAGGGATGGGCTTCACTTTGAATCGGGATGGAACCAGACTGCAGGTGCTTAAAATAGAAATGGGGCGGGTCTCATTAGGCACTCTAATGAGGGGGCGGGCTAATGAGCCTAATTAGCCTTAGGGTTTGTTTTTAATTACGACCCGGCGCTGCTGCTGCTGCTGCTGCTGTGCCACAAGTCTCTGTACCAAGCAAAAGTAATAGGTGCCTCTTGTGATCTCGCGGCTGAAGCTAATTAGCCGGGTAGGCCGCAGCTGCAATTACTACAAACCTTGAATCAGCTCAGAAGAACGGAGGCACCTAATTAGCCCTGAATCAGATTTCCCTCCGTGGTGGAGGAACAGCTTTACTCCATCTCTCTCTCTGACGTCTCGCGGCGTCGCTTTGCTGGTGCCAAAGACTACAACTCCCACAAGGCCCTGCAGGGATCGGCGGCCCTTCCCATGCTCCTTTTCGGCCAATGGAGCGCCGGGCGGCCTTGTTGCCAAGGTTGGATGCCGGAAGTGAATCCGGCCGGGCCGGCGCGGTGCAACTGCCTTGGGTAGCCATGGCAACCGCAGAGCCGCGGCCCTGGTTGCCTGGGCCCGGCGTTCGCGCTGAGGCCCCGCACCGGAGCGGGGTGAGGAGGGGGGACGCGGCGGGGGCCGGCGGGCGGAGGGCGCTTCGTGGGGCGGGGAAGGCGCTGCAGGGCCGCTCCCGTGGGCGGCTCTTCTCCGTCCGCGGCGCGAGCGAAGGAGCTCGCCTCTGCCTGCTTTTCGTTCCTGGGCAGCCCGGCCATGAGGGCCCCCAAGCAGGCAGCGAGGATGAGGCTGACGGTGGGCAGGAGGGGGCCGCCCGGTGCCTCGCTATGGCGGGAAGCAGGGCCGCTCCCTGACTAGTGGGCTCGGTGGGAGGGTGGCCCGCTTGCCCGCGTTCCTTGCGCTGGCAGACGGTGTCTTCCTTCCTTCCTTCCCGGGTGGTGCCTTGCCCTTGCAGGTGTAAGCAGACTCCGCTCCGGGGATGGCCATGGCTGGGCCTGCAATACGGATCGGCGACCAGCTCATTCTGGAAGAGGACTACGATGAAACCTACATCCCCAGCGAGCAAGGTGAGCGCCAGCAGTCTTCCCCTCAGGGGGGCCCATGAAGGAGAGCAGAGCACCTGGAGCAAGATGACGCACCTCCAGGTGGTGATGGAGGAGGGTGGCCCTAGGTAGCTCCTGAGCACGGCTGTCAGCCTGGCCGGCCTGATGCTTCTTTTCTCTTCCGCAGAAATCAATGAGTTTGCTCGAGTGATTGGGATCGACCCGGAGGTCGAGCCAGAGCTGATGTGGCTGGCCCGAGAAGGCATTGTGGCCCCTTTGCCCTCTGAATGGAAACCTTGGTAAGGCAGAGCTGCCCGTTGGGCCATCCATCCCTATGCTGCTCTCTCCCCCACCCACCCCCCCACCGGCTGCTGCATCTTGGCTGGCTCATCTCACACTCCACAGAGCCTGCTAAAGCAGGTGTGACTTGATCCAAGCTAATGTTAGGCTTGGAATGGTGAGGAGCAATATTTATTTCAACAGCCTGTATAAGGCCTGCAGAATGAGGTGGCAGAACATGGGAGGAGGGTGTCATTTTTGTTCATGTTCATCTGTATCTCTGTGGCATAAAGACCCCCAAAGCCCACAATCTGTGAGTGTAAAAAATACTGTATGTGCAAATAGAGTGTGTGCACCACAGAGCAAGGTTAAAACTTAGCCTGTTTCCTTCCTTTGGTAGGTCTTTTTTTTTTTTTTTTTTAGCAGTGAGACTTTATGTGACACTGAAAAAAACCATCACCCCTCCCTGCTGTTTGAAGTACAGAGTACCATTCTGTTTAGTTGTTCTGCTTCACTCGATTTCACTCACAGACTACACACAGGCTAACTGGGAATCAAAGCTGAGTTTCCACAGTTGTGATATGTTTCTATAATGTGCATCTGGGTGGTGGCTCAGGTAGGTGTTGGGAAGGGATGATGCTCAAATTTCTCCAATATGGGCTGTACTGATTACCCTAAGCCATGAGCACTCTTTCAAACAAATCTGTTTTCTGGCTACATTTCTAGAGCATAATCCTTCCAAACACTGTACTAGCTGCTTTATACGTTCCTGATAACTGGGGGGGGGGGGAGTGTAATCACATCACATATTCTTCCTTGGGAAGAATAACCATTACACTGGGAGGCTCAAAGGCAACTGTTCACATCTGGCTTTTCTTACCATTTCACTTGCCTCTCACATAGGAAGGGACGCTTCCAAACTATTAGTGGGTTTGGGGGACCTTGGAAGTCCCTTCAGATTAGGAAGGCAAGGATATTCTTGAGCCTGTGTATATGTATGCGTGCACACACATGTATGCATGTATATGCGGCTGCTTAGATTCCATGTCCATCTTCAGCCAAGATATCACAGGGGACATCTATTACTTCAACTTTGCCAATGGTCAGTCAACGTGGGAACATCCATGTGATGAGCGCTACCGACAGCTTGTGATCCAGGAGAGGGAGAAGCTCCTGGATCAGGGAGGTCTCAAGAAGAAAGAGAAGAAGAAGAAAAAGGAGAAGAAAGAGAAGAAAGAGAAAAAAGAGAAAGACCTGCTGAAACATCCAGTTGTGAGTACCTTAGTTGGATACAGGGCCGGATGGAACTGGGTGTTAGAGGAAATGCAGACTTCTTGCATGTTTCCTGCTGTTCCTGCTTCTCTCCCACCCCTGTATCTTTTCTCTGTAATTGGTGCCTGTCCAAGTTTAAAGAGGGCCACCTTATTTCAGCACAAGAAGAGGGATTTAGTCTTTAGGTGTCATTATTATTAATTTTTTTCCACTCTTCCTTAAAGGAGCTCAAGATGGTGTAGACACAACCTCTGCCTCCCCTTTACCCTCGCTGCAGCCCCACATGGTAGATTAGGCTGAGATAAATTAACTGTCCCAAGGTCACACAGTGAGCTTCTTGGCTGAATGAGGATTTGAACCCAGGTACTAGTTGCTTGGACTATTGCTGTGCAGAGTGTGGCTTGTGAATTTGGCTAGAGAGTAGACTTTACCTGTTGCAATCACACACAGCGAGTTACTTCTAAAGTAAGAAAATAACAAAGCTGTCTCTTATAGGAGGTACATAACTTAGATCAAAATGCTTCTTGTTCTAAGCTAACTATCTAATCCAGAGAAGGCAAAGGTAGCTATGCTTGCTCCTTTGTTTTCAGAGGACATTTCCAAGATGACCTCTCATCTTGAGGTTGTGAGAAAGAGATGGAAGTTGGGAGGCGGATGCAGCCTAAGACATATCAGTCTAAACTGATAGAGAGGTCAGCATAGAGATCAAAGGTACAGGGATGGTTTGGGAATCTGGAGGTCTTTTAATCTATCTGTTTTAGCCCTATGCAACCCCCTCTCTGCAAGCTGAGTTTCCTCTAGACTTCTGGCACTAGTTCAGCACAGGAGGTGTGGGTCAGTAGTCAAGGCCAGCTGCTAAGGTAGCACTGCCACCCACCCTAATCAAAATATGGCTTGTTTTGTCTGCATCTTTTCAAACATAGCTGAGCAAATAAATCGTTTTTGAGCTCAGGGCTCAACAGGGCCCTTTTTTCTTAAGTTTCTGTCCTTGTGCAGCTCAGTGAATATGGCTATCAGAAAGCTGCTAGCCAAGACTTACTTAGGATCCTATCCATATTTTTTTGTGTTTTCTGCCAAACATTCAGGGGTTAAGTCACATTTGACTACAGCATGTTTTCTCCCATAATCCACACTGTAGCAGTTGCATGTGGTGATCTCCACCACCCCATCCTGGTTTGCCATTGCAGCTGATTGGGGAGCCCAGGTTGGAAACAGCTAGGTTGTCAGTAAGAACAGCTGGTTTCTGTGAAGATCTCTGAAGACCAACCACATTTGGGGCAGCAGAAGTGCAGGGGGAGGATATGCAGGAAGAGTCATATTATTGGGAATTCTGCCATGGGTATTCCTACATGTAACTTGTCTTCCTTGGGAGACTCTGTCCTAGGGAGAAAGACCGGCACCTGTACAAATTATACCAATCTGTAAGTCTGCTTAATGGCCTTTATCTGCTTAGGAGACGCAGTCAGAGCCGGGGATTCTTCCTTCAACATCCTTTTATAGAGTGTCATCCCCTGTCCTGTCATCAGGCCACGCAAGTCCTGAGCTGGAGCAGCAGGGCAGCTTCATGACAAGGAATGAACTCTTCCTGAAGAACCGCAAAGGAAAGGCTTCAGGGATGTCTCCTGATCCAAGTGACCCACCCCGGCTACACTCGGGTCCTGTCCCTAGTAAGCTGCAACCTATTCTGCCAGCCAAGTCAACCCCACGGACTCGCCAGATCCTGGCAGACGTGGAGAAGATTCTTGGAAGAGCTCATCTTCTAGCAAACCAGATCAGTCATGCCAAGATGTAACAGCAGAAATCAGAAGTACAGCTGCTTGTGTTTTTTCAGATTCAGAACCTGATTTAGATGGCTCCAAGATTGCTGTGCCACTTTTCCAAGCACTGAAGGAACCCACTGATGATGGGGCTGTGCTGGCCCTGGAGACACCGAAGGTGAGAACCCTGTTCTTCGAGGGTGAAAATCTAGGCAAGGACCAAGAGAATAGTTACATGGAGGAAGGTGGCCTCTGCCAGTCACCTGATTCTTCACCTGGAGAGCGGGTGATGGGGCCTTTCAGCTGCATAGGACGGGATAGAGGATTCTTGCATACAATTGAAAGGGAAATTCAGCGGTTTCCTCCTGCTGCTGTTTCCCTTGTGTTGGCTGGTGAGACATACGAGCCCAACATCATGGAAGAAGGTGACATCCATTCTTTGCAGAACGACCCGAGGCCTTTCTCTAAAGTGAAGGAGAGCAGAAAGGGAAGGAAATTCCAAGAGCAGTGCCATGCCACAGAGCTCAGCATGAGTGGAAGAGGGGGCACCCAGCAGCAGACTTCTGCCTTTGGGCTGGGAGTAGGGACTGGAACAGGTGGGGAAGCTAGTCCTCTGTTGGCTGCTGCAGGTTTGTCAGTTCAGCTCAGGGGTGAAAGGAGACATGGTGAGCGGCTGCACTCTGGTGGTGGTGGAGGCAGCAGTGGCGGCAGCGTGACAAGCAGCTTGGCTGACCATCTTGATTCTGAGATCTTGGGAGAAGTTGACAACTTCTCCTGGGACCTACAGAGCACTCATGGATCTGACCGCCCCATGGGCCTTCTGGCTGTTGCCAAAAGAACTTTCCTGGAAGCTTCCCATACCCAACCACAGAGCATCCCTAATGACCGTTCAGAAAGCGAGTGCTACACAGAGGATCAGAAGTTTTATCGGCATATGGTCCATATGGTGAAGAGGTCCAGAGGAGCAGAGCTGGCTGTACCTGAACCACTCAAGCAACAGCAAAGTGGCTCTGAAGAGTTTGTCACTGGCCTGAACATGGAGCTTTACATTCCCTCAGGAAGGGGCTGCGGAAGCAGAGATGATGCCTAGGCCAGGAGCTGCAGTCTTTAAGGCAGGGGTACTCCAGAGTCCAGTCGAGGGTCAGGTGTTCTTCATTCAAAATAGGCAGGCAGAAGGAGAGCAAGTGCAGAGCAGAACACTGGCAAAGAAAGACAGCTGGCCTGAGCTTACACCAGGAGGAGATGGAGGTGAAGAGGTAGGCAGTTTAGATTATATGTGTTTATTTTATAGTATCTCTGCTCTTCTGCAGAGTTGAGGATGCTGCATATGGAGCCCCCACTCCCTTTAGTCCTTCCATCAACACTTCAAGGTTGTTAGGCTGAGACAGAGTGATCAGAAGTAATCCAGTAGGTTTTGTGGCTGAGTGGAGATCTGGATCCTGGTCTCTCTAAAGGCCGCTGCAAGGTCTTTCCCTGGTATTGACCCAATACTGACACACAGTCCTTGGGAGACTGTGGATAAAGAGATAAACCTATCCCACTTATAAAAGAAGAATAACTGAAATAGTTGAGTAAATTAATATTCATTTATATTATCCTGCTGTTCCTCTCAAAGGAGCCCAGGGAGGCAGACAGTTTATTTAAGGCAGTTTTCAACAACATACATTCACTAAATTGTCAGGGAGGGGGTCACTCCTCTCCTCCCCCATTCCCCAATCTGCTGTGAAGTGTTGTGGGGAACGCCCAAAACAGCTTTGGGGAAGAGCAGAGGGGAGAGAGCCTGCAAAGGTTTTGTTGCTCAAGGAGAAATCATTTTGCTGCCAGAACATTCTCATTAGTGCTACTGCATTGAGTACAATCCTCAATAATAGTCTCTCATAAAATCTGATGGGAAGTTTAGGATGGGGGAAGGAATGGTTAATGGCTTTTGTGTGACAGTTGTTGAGTAGAATTGCAAGGAATCTACTTACCCAGATCTCCTCTGGTGTCTTAAGGTTGCACCTTTTCCCATCCTTGGGTTTCCCACATAATTCCTAGTCATTATGTCTGAGGAGCACCTGCAAATAATCTTGTGGCTACCCAGTTGCATTCATGCACCACAAGGCCAGGGTGTTATCTAAGTGTGTTTATTTGAACACCTCTGGGGGAGCCAACCTGTACTGGTGAAGACAGGCCCTTTTTATAGTGGGACTTTCCTCCAGTCGAGTCCCATTGGAGCATATAGGCAGAAAGAAGTCATGTGCCTATAGTTTCCCAGCACATGCATGGCATTGGTAGGCAGCACAGGCTGGTCTGCAGCTTTCTCCCCTCACAGAGTTGATTGGTGGACTTTATGCATCTTGCTCAGCAGTTTGTTTGGTTTTTTGTCACTCACAGTGCTGTGATGTAAATTTGATTTACTGTTGTTGTGGTTTGATTCCCCCCCCCCAGATTATTCTGCTTTGTTTTGTGTCATGTATTTTAACTTTGCACTCTACTCTGGGATTGACCATAATACAGTGGTGCCTCGCAAGACGAAAAGAATCCGTTCCGCGAGTCTCTTCGTCTTGCGGTTTTTTCGTCTTGCGAAGCAAGCCCATTAGCGGCTTAGCGGATTAGCGCTCTTAGTGGGCTTAGCGGATCATCTGATAAGCGGCCTAGCGGATTAGCGGATCAGCTGTTAAGCGACTTAGTGGATCAGCTGATAAGCGGCTTAGCGATTAGCTGTTTAGCGGCTTAGCGGATCAGCTGATAAGCGGCTTAGCGGCTTGGGAAAAAGGGGGGGGAACCCTGCAGGAACTCGCAAGACATTTTCGTCTTGCGAAGCAAGCCCATAGGAAATTCGTTTTGCGAAGCACCTCCAAAACGGAAAACCCTTTCGTCTAGCGGGTTTTCCGTCTTGGAGGCATTCGTCTTGCAGGGCACCACTGTACAGGATGAATTATAAATCTCCTCAATAAAAAAATGTTCCTGTGTTTTTAGTTGTCTGCCTGGTATAAACTTACAGAATAAATAAGTGGAAGGGTTAGCCGTTTTGTTTCAGTTCTTTCAGAAGTGAACTGAATATTTTGTGGTGGCCAAGAGTGCCATCTTCTGCAGGTGGCGTAACTAGTGGCTCTGGTGGTAGATGTAGCCTTTTAAGGTATCTGTAGCATTTGCCAACTGCTGGTTCCTCTAAGCTTGTAGACAAACCCTTTACATGCTGCAAATAAATAGATGCTGCACAGCCTGGCTGTGTTGCTTGGGCATAAGTCATTTTAATGTGGAAATGAAGATAGATGCCTCCCTGTTGCATTGCTTATTAGTTCCTGAAAGAGCATTTGACATTTGAGTGAATCAACCTGATTTGACCATTGGGTTTCATTATCAGCTTATTTCAAGGGACAACTTTACTGCAGTTTTTTCAGACAGGTGTGGTTTTTGTTTTGTTTTTTAGACCTTAACACAGAACCTAGGTCTCCAGTTGTTGTCAGACTGCAGCTCCCATCATCCATGGTCACTGGTCCTGCTAGCCAGGGATGATGGGAATTGTAGTCCAACAACAGCTGGAGACCCAGGTTTGAGAAACACTGCTAACGCAAGCCACACACTTGTGTGCTTGCCTTGTTGTCCCCTCTCCAAAATGAGATCAGCTCACGCTGACACTTCAAACTTCAGTCTGTTGTGATCCAGGAAAGCAGTTCTGTTATTGAGGTGTGAGGTAGAGAAAGAGCATGTAAGAAGCCATGTCAGACTGCTGTTGAACTTCTAGCATAGTCATAGACAGCTTCTGCTTACCTTGTTACTGTGTCTTCCCCCTCCCTGAAATCTTCCAGTCTCCAGGACCTATACTAGCCCCAGTCCAGTCTCCCCTGGGGAGCCTTGCTCCATTACGTGGGTTTGTGGATGCTCCAGTCAGTGCACCCTGCAACTTACACAATACAAATGGGAGAAGTGCCGTGGAACCGAAGGCACCAGCACATACAATGGTACCAGCACATACAATGGTAAACAACTAAAATCTGGCTCATGTGGGTGTGCTTATGAACATGCAAAGTTGTTTGTGCAGCTTTTTGCCTCTTTTGCTTTGCATTATCTACTTAATGTCCTTCTGATGTATGCATGTTTTCGTCTCTTAAAGCTTGGCAGTTGCAAGAAAAGTCTCTTTCAATCTGTGGACGAAGAAGAGGAAGCATCTTTAAACCAGCTGACTCCTAATGGGGCAGAAAAGGAAGATTGCAGCAATGAGGTAGTAGTGCTTGATAAATAGAGTTGCTGTATGAGATGGGGATGGAGGGCTGTGCGTATTCCTTTCTGATCTGATAAATGGTGGACACACTGGAACATAGAAAGCTGCCTTTATACCAAGTCAGATCATCATCTATCTCAGTACTGCCTGCACTGATCACTTGCAGCTCTCCAGGGTTTCAAATGGGGATTGTTCTGTACCCCACTGGAAATGCCATTGGGGATTGAACCCGAGTCCTCATGCAAAGAAGATTATCTGCCACTCAACTATGATGCTTGTCCATTTCAAGTCTCTTGGCTTTCCAGCACAGAAAGAAACAAGAGTTGGTGCAATGCCTATTTTACTGCATGCTTCTAAGTGGAACGTGCAGCAGGACAGTTAGGTCTTTGTATAAGTAGCAATTCTTGCAGTTTTAAATTCTTTCCTTCCCAGAAGGGCCCAACTCTTGATGCAGTTATCAGACTCTGGCGTCATTATGCCCATGTACCTGTAGGCTCACCAGCCTTGAGAAGGGGCCAATTTGTGCATATAAATCCAAATCCACACTCTAGTTCTTCTAGCCCTGGTTCCCCCAAAGATCCCTATACTACATTGCTTGTGGTTAGGGTGAGGGAGCAGATTGGGACCCTCTCTTGTTGCCTTCTTTGTCCCCAGTGTCAGTTCTTCAAGTATGGCTTTGGATGCACAGCTGAACATTTCTCTGCTCCTTGTTGCATGTCCAGAGTCCTCGTGGGACAGGTGGGCTTCTCAAGAACCTGCATATGGATGTTAGTGCCCTTGGTGCCAGCTTTGACAATGAGGTATGTACTTACTATTTGGCAGGGTGGATCAATTTGATTTAAATCAATTTGATTTAAATCACGATTCAAATCACTAGTCATTAAGACTTGATTTAAATCATTTTTTGTACAGAAAAACTCATTTTTGCTGGTATAATAATATTTACAACCAGATGAAGATTTCATTTTGGAATAATAAATTTTCAGAGTAGTTTTTACAGTTATATCAAAACTTACTGATTTGGTTATACTATTAGAAGTGCTTTGACAGATAATTATGAAATTATTGTGAGGTTTAATAAGTTAACTGTTTATATTTGGACAACTTTTCTGCTGTACTTTATTGAAAGGAGAAAAAGAAGCATTTCCTTAATAACAATTTAAACAATTTATTTAACTAAATCAATAACATTATAGCATATTCATCCATGTTTGTTAACTGATGTGATTAAATGTTTTTTTTAAAAAAAAAAACCTTAGACTGAGTTTTAGCACACATGAAAAACTTAAAACAAATCCTTATTTCTTGATGAATAGCCTTTGGACTATAATGTAACTTAAATAGAAAACTATCTGTAGAAAGATTTTTCCTCCAAAAGCATTTTATTTTATAAATCTGATTTAAATTTTAAAAATCCAATTTTTTATTTTTATTTTTTTTTAAATCATTGATTTTTATCCACCCTGCTTTTTGGATAGTTTCCTGGTATTGGGGGCTTAAAGTGCCTGCTTCCCAATAAAAGCCAATCCTCAGATCATCTTTAAAAGAGGAGCAGCATTTGGGGTATAGTAAACACATCAGCCCCAAATGCCATGGATGTGATGTTGGATGACCAAGAGAGAAATTCCCCTAGGAGAAATCTGGCAGGGTTTGAGGAGCAATTTGATATCTCAGATACTTTCGCTGCTGCATTGGTGGTTTGTGTATTTTTGTGGGTTAAAATATTCAAGGCATTCACCTTAGAATGCTGTGGGTCAGTCACTCCTCACTTTTTTTAGTTTGCTTTCCAGTCAGTCAGAGTGTGCAAAGCTGGTGATGGGTGTGTGTCCCTTTGCTTTTGAAGGTTTCTGAAGGCAGCAATCCAATGAAGGAATGGCAGGTTTCTGACCACTTGGACCCTGAGCCGCATAGCGTTGTGGTGAGTCTGCCAGTAACATGGGTAGTAAGAGAGTAGGAAGAAGAAATAGAAACTTCTTTGAAAAAATAAGATGGGAGTTCTTGGTGAGCGCATAACTCTTGGGCTGGCCCTTTTAAGGACTTTCTTACCAACTCTCCTGGTCTGTTTTTGTGTGGATGAAGTTCCAAGTACCATTGCACCTTGCTTTGTACCCAGTATCAATATCATTGCTGGCTTCAGGTCCAAAGCCCCGGTCTCTTGGCCTAGAAGAGGGTCTAGAATAACTAATGGGGCCGCACACTCTCCCACCCCACCCACACCCCAAGTTTGTTAGCCTTGGTTGTCTGGGTAAATGACTTCTACCATCTCCACCCCCAAACTAGGTCTGATCCAGACAGTGAATATCAACAGCACTGCTTGGAGTTGACCGGTCTTCACGCCATTTCCCCCCAAGAATGGCACATTCAAGACTGGCTGATAGCTCATCTCAGGCTAAGATATCTAAACCAGATTTCTTCAACAGAAGCCTCACTGCTGCCATCTTCAGAGCAGTCAGAACCACCCCATTCCTCAAGGAGGCATTGGTAACCTCCAAGGTCCCTATGCCCAGCTCTGTTCTGACATATTTAAGTAGATTAAGATGAGTCACTATCTGCTCCCCCAGTCACAGATCAGCCCCCTTACGCACCACCCTGTTCAATTCAGAGGATCAGGTCTCAAGTCCTGCGCTGTGTATTGGTCCAGTGTTCATTTGAGACAAGGTGTCATGGTTGTCACAGAGGCCTTGGCCGTGAGCTGCCCCAGAGAAGGTAGCCTCAGCCTGAGTGCTCAGGACCCCCAAGGCTATCAGCCTGAGGGTCCTCAGCACCATATTCAACACTACCTTTGAGAGCTGAAGCAAGGAATCCTCTTGGAATGCTAATCTCTCCTTACCCCTTTGTTTCTTGGGGGCTTTGGTTCCCAGAGCCCAAGCTTTGAAAACATCATGGATGTGTTGCCTCCAGTCCTGGGAACTCCAAAGTTTGCAGTGAGCAGAGCCATGGTTGAAAGCACTTGGAAGGAACAGGTAAGTGGCGTTGTGGAGCTGCATGGGCTCCTCTTCGAACATGTTGTTTTGCTCCTACAGCTGACTTGCTAGGAGAGTGCAAAGTAATGTATGAAGCAAAGGGGCAGGTCTCATAGAGGTTTAAGCTGGAAGAAATGTCCCCTTTTAACTGGCAGTGCTCCCAGCCACCCCAAAGTTGTGAGCCTGTCTCAGAAGTCCTGCTATATACCTCTGCTCATCCAGCAGGTCATTTCCAGGTATGCAGAGAACTGCTGGTGAGGAGGCCACACAGACATAAGATGTGCCTATTCCCATAAGCTGGTGGTTGAAACTTGGATTGCAGAAGCTCATGGTTCTAGGATAGAACAGGAGTGAAGGATTGAGGTGTCCTATACATGCCACTCAGCTGCTCAACATTTAGAGCATGCCCCACAGGGATTGGCTGGGCCGTGGAGTTGCTGATCATGCACAACCAATACTAGCGGTGGCTTGCCGCAAACCTTGCTTGCCAAGAGTCACCAGAAGAGTACTTCTGCTGTTGTCTTTGCAGCCACATTTTTAGCTCCCCATATATGGCAGCAGGTGGGTGTGACTTTGGGGGAAATGGCCTTGTAGGCCAGATTAGAAACCCCATTAAGCCTGATTTTTACCAGTGGGCTGGAGGTTCCCCATCGCTGTATCCGAAAAATAAAAACTAGTATCCTTCCTTTCTGCATCTTAATGTTGCTGTATCCTTTTCCCTGGTGATTTGGAGTAGAGAGGACCATGTAGGTTGGGGGCTATTTGAAGTGCAGGCAGTGTGTTATGGCTGGGAAAAGAGATTGCATGGGATATCCATACATAAGCTGGGGGCACATCTGCAGACCCTTGGCCTTGTGTTTCTGGCTTCTCATCCTTGCTTCTGCAGTCTCTGCATGGTCTTATTGCACATTTAATGGAATCTGTTGCATCACAGCAATTGTTTGTGTGTTTGAAAGCACCCACTATTGAATCAGCCAGCCAAGTGGTGTGTTAGGTCTCTTGTGGGGTAGTTCATTTATTCTTTCTCACACACAGTCAGTCATTCTCTCTAGACACAGATAGCCTGATCCAGTGAAGTAATCCTGTCCCATGGAAGACAGAGCTGTAGGCTTCACCATCTTGTCTGTACTCTGGAACTGTCTTTCAGCAGCACTTATTGTAGGCACAGCTCAGAAGGATCAATTCTATTCATGACTCTGGCTGTCTCCACCTTCCATTGAAATGGCAGTATTGTGGCAAACCCTTCTTTCTGTTTTTATCTTTCTGGTAGACTAATGACTGGTCAGGACAGGAGAAGGACCAAAGCAAAGGCAGCCTAGCAGAGGAGAAAAGCCAAGGATCAGCTAAGAGGTACAGCTCTTTTGCAACACTTCTCACCCATTCCACACAGTATTGTCACAAAGCAGCCAGCTGTCAAAATCCCTGGTTCTCAGGGGCACATTCTTGCTTTATTTCCTCATTCATTCTCTCCCTCTGCAGAATCCCTTTTGTGTCTTGACAGCAGGTTTTGCTCTGTTCAGGGTGGGATGTTCTTTTTATATAGCAAGGCCCTAGGTTTGTCAGTTAAGCAACACCCTCCTTCCCTCTGTTATGGATGCCACATTAAGGAGGCAGAGAAATAACCTCCCCTCCATATCTGCACACAAACATTTAGGATCCAGGGATCAGCCCCAGGCATAAGTTTAGTTGGACCTGTTAGTAATGGCCTTTAATTTCAGTGGTTCTACTCTTGAGTGCAGCCCCATGATTCCTTTACTTAATAAAATTAGTTGAACATTACAGAAGAGGATAAATGAGGTTTGTCAGTAGCATAAGAACATAGCAAATTTGATTACTTGTATATGGTTATACGTTGTTCTTATATTCAACTAATAAAATATTCCAAAAAAGGAACATAGAAAAATACAAAAGGCATTACAGATTTAAAGTATTGATGCAGAGTTGAGGTACAATTCTTAATTACCTGCCTGCAAGCTGTAAGCTTCTTAGAAGGAACTGAGTAAATGTTCAAAATTTTCTTTTGAAGAATATACATTTACAGTACATTATAAATTGCCAGCTACAACAATTATTGGAGGAAAACAAACTATTCTAAATTATTAAAAGATGATAAATTCCACATGATATCCAGATACTTGAAAGAAATACATTAAATCCCAGCATCTGGATAATATACATTGGGTTGTCTCCAACTAAGTTAAAAAAAATGGTGATATGCATAATTAGTGCTGCATGGCAATGGCTCCCCTCTTGGGGCTCCCTCCCCGTGGTTTCCAGGCACCCAGTAGGACTGGCCCCCTACATCTCTCTTGTGTAGAGGAGGACCTTTCTTGCCTCTTTGGCTGCAGAGCTGCATGCCAGAACTGCACCCTGTTGCTAGAGGCTCTGCCCTCCATAATTAGGCAAGCTGTAAATCTTTGTTCTTTTGCATTTTTATTGCCACCAAGGGAGAGGAGCAAAAGCTGCCCGAGTGGTTCTGAAGGGTCTGAAAAGAAGGCAGTCTCGGTAGGGTCTGGCACCTTGGAAACGAAGATGAGAGTTGAGCACCGGCTGGTGAACCTGAATGAGCGAGACCCATCCTGCAAAGAGTAAGGGGATGCAATGGCATATGCCTCTGTCTAGGGGGCCCTTTTCTGCAAGAGGAGGGAGGGACATTGAGGTGCACACCTCCTTTGGGTTCTGTCATCCTCCTAGTAAAGTGTCTGCACTGGATTCATAGGAAGCTGCTCATACTGATGCCGGGGATTGAACATGGCAAAGCAGACACTCAGTCACTGCCCTGTGGCCCTTCTCCAAAAGCAGCTACTTATAAATACAGGGAGGGGGGCAGGGTTTCTAGACGAGAATGTGTATTTTACAAACTTGTGTCCTAATCCATTTCCTACTTGATACTTAATGGTGGCAAGATGGAGGTGTGCTGTGTTATGTTTCTAGAGCTCAGGCCAGCCTGTATTTCTTCATTATGAAATGGTTCACTGGGATAACTGGGCAGTGTGCTCTTCATCCCTGAAGGCTCAGCTGAGCCCCTTCTTTGCTCTCCTCTTCAAGTTGGTTATCACAGGTTTTGTTTCATAAAACAACATGCATTTGATGTAAAGCAAGTTAAGTGTGTTTTGTCTAAAAGCATCTCTTTTTGGCTTTCCATGGATTTTAGGAAGAGAGGAAAGTTTTACAGCTGCACACAGTCCAAGTAGCCTTGTGCAACATAGTCTCTCCTCTTGGTTCCTAGCTCAGAAAGCCAAGTGAATGCAGTGTCACTAGTAAAATAAACGTAACTAGTCATGGCCTTGAGTTTTGTTTTGAAAATGTAGCAGTCCTCTAAAAGCCTGGGAACATGGCAGGGATCCAGGCTGTGTACCATGTGGACAGTTGCCTGCCCTTTCTGAGCCTGGTACCTGCTCCATCTAGTGCCTGACAGTCCAGTACCATCAAAGCAGCTTTCATGGATATACCTTAAGGCAGCAGAATTATCAGAGCTCTGGACTAGGAAATGTAGCTGTATGGCACTATTATGTTTTCAAAGTAAGTTCTGAACTGTAAGCAGCTGCCATGAATTTGGAATTCTAGATTCTCTTGAATGCTCTTCTATGGCTGTGGTGCCTAGTAGCCTCCTGAGATTCTGAGAAAATATGATCTTGAAATCTGTGCCTTGCTGTGCATGGTAGATGAGATTTATTCTCATCTATGGTATAGCTGTAAGTTCTTCATGCCATACATGAAGCTGGGACAGTAGATGGAGATAGTAGTGTATTGGGAAGGCTGACTTCTCTTGTGGAAGAAGACGGCTTTGTGAAGTGTTCTTGTTGCTATATTGTTCCCTGCTAATCTGAGTGTTTAATGTGGAAAGTTTCTCTTAATGGCAGGAATTTTGAGGCTGAGGGTAAGCAAATGTCCTGGGAAAAGCATGCTGGGGATTCCCTTGAGGAAATAACCAAAGCGCATCACACTTTGCTGGAACAAGCAAAAATACATTTGCTGCAAGAAAAAGAGACGCGAATGCAGCAGCTGCAGGAAGAACTACAGCAAGAAGAGGAGCAGGAGATCCAGATGCTCCATCAGCAGAAAAAGGATGCCCTCCAGTGAGTTCCATCCACATACAGCTGTTTTGCTTCTTTTCCTCCCTGCAGTGAATCCCCTGCAGCTAATAGAGGGTGGAAGGCCTTTTGAAGAGATGCTAGTCCATGGGAGTGGTGTGTCTTACAGCTTGCAAGTATTCAGTTCTTTTTAGGCACCCCCACCCCCACCTTGCAAGGGTAGAAAGAAGTCTCTGCCACATTCAGTGTTGGACTCCAGATTCCCAACAAAAAAGTTCAACAGAAGCTTCCTATTTGGAGGTCATTAGGAAGTTCATTTGCTCCTCACTAGAGAAAGTTACATATTGCTTTCTTGGTGCTATTCTATGCAGCTAGTCTTGCTATGCCTGTTCATCAACAGCTGCTACTTTGGAGCGAGTCATGACAGGATAATCTCATTTGATTCTCTACTCACTTGTGCTCTGTATAGGACTGTGACACACCTGCAATGGCCTCTCTTGCATTGCTTGGCCTTTGGGGTCAGGGTCAGCAGTTAAGCTAGGCATAAAAACATTTTCTGCCACATACAGCAGAAGGCTACTGGATAAAACATTCTTGAATAATCAAGGGCAGTCCACTTAAACAATGACTTTAGTCAGGAAGAGAAAAAGGCTGGGAGTAGTAAGACAAAAATACAGAAAATGGTGCTGTGTGTGTGTGTGTGTGTGTGTGTGTGTGTGTGTAATTTTGAACAGGATCCTCTGTGGCAAAGGTGTAGAGGGAGATCCTAATCCTAATCTGAGCCACTGAGTGAGGCCTGAATACAGCTGGTGGTTCAGTTTTCATGGCTTAGGTTCTAGTGAAAGGGCTTCCTGCATTCTCCTCATCTGTCCCAAGCCTGCATGGAGCAACATCTTCATTTGTAGCAGTCTTAAAGCAGCATATTGTTACAGGTGAAGCTTGAGCACCTGGCTGACATCTGAAGGGCAGGGCCAGAGTTGGAAGTGAGGATGTGGAGAAGTCTGAATCCTAAACTTATGGAAGGTTTCTTTTGTAGAATCTTCTGCAAATCTCAGTTGCTTGGATCAGTCTCACACTTGGATTGCTTGAGAAATTGCGAGCAAGTTGTCTTCGCTTTGGCTGCGCAGTACTGAGGTTGTCTACTGGACTTAAGCAGTGCTCCCGTTGCTGCAAGGAGATGTACCCCCGCCCTCCAAAAAAATCACTTTCTGCTTGTTTCTTAGATCATTAAAAGCTGAGTTGGAGGCTGCTAGGCAGAAAGAGGAGGAGCGCTTGAGGAAGGAGCTGCAAGACGAACTTCTGAAACTCCAAAGCCAGATCCATTCTGAAGCAGAGGCAGAGAAGGCGAAGATCAGGTGCTGGTTTGAATAGGCAGGGTTTTCTGCAAATATCATCCTTTGCTGTGAAGGTGGAAGCTGGTGGCCTTGACAGTGCAGTGATTAGCCTTGTGTTTAAACCAGCTTTGTGCAATGAGTGCACCCTTTCCAGCCTAGGAGACCATTGAGAATGTACACTGTTTACAATTCGTTGAAAAAATCACTGGAGGAAAAGTCACTACCAAGGTAGCCTTCGTTCCAGACCAGTGACTTTGGTGTTATGGCAAGATAGTGCTGATTCTGCAGCTTCATCATTTCCCGAGACTCCATAAAAGTCTCGAGTGAAAATGGTAGTGGTTGAATGAAGGACAGTGATACCGTGTGCTGCTGAGCACTCCAGTGTGGCCCTGCCATTATAGTTGTGGGCTTCCTATCCCATGTGACACCATAACCTTCTAGCAGTCAATGCCTGGGAGGTTTTTAAAACTGAGAAATCCAGGGCCCAGGTGCAGGCCTTTGCCATCTCTCCAGCTGTTGCTGGGGGGTGGGCATCCCTTAGCACCCTTCCACCTTGGTGCTATGTTTATGCTCTTAAAATACAATAAGGTGCAGAAAGGGGTGTACTTTCAGTGGCGACATTGGATAAGGCCTTCTCTGTGGTGGTGTCCCATTTGTGGAATCGCCTTCCCCATGAGTCCAGCTGGCCCTGATACTGTCTATGTATTTGCAAGCATATTTAGGGGTTATGTGACTGCCACTGCAATTAGAGGCCACAGTAGGTTCCATGAGTGCTTTTATGATGGAAAACTTTGTGGTCTGTTTGTTTTAGTCTATAGTTTTCAAGCAATTGACCAGTAATGCTTGGGGATCATATCCAGCTACGTAGATTTTTCTTTAGCATCAGGTGGAAGAATTTGACCCTGTTGTTGGGTCACATAAATTATGAGGGGGTGCCACATTCCATCTGGCATCCCGGCTGCGTTTCCCCAGTCAGCAAACTGGCAAACTCAAGGGCCTGAGGTTTGCCACCTCTCGTTGGTTTGGTTCATGGTTTGGCAAGAGGGGAAGGGAGAAAGGGTCTGCTTCTGTCTTAGTCTCACTGGCTGCTTTTCAGGCTGGCCCAGGAGGCTGCTCTGCAGAAGCTCAGAGAGGAGCTGGAATCCTTTCAGCAGTCTGAAGAGGATGAACTGAAGGCGCAGAAGCAGCTTTCTCTGGAAAGGGTGAAGAAGGAAGCAGAAGCTGTTGAGCAGGCAGAACAAGTGGAACTGGAGCAGGAGATCAAAAGAACCTTCAACGAGCTGAAGAAGAGGCTGGTCAAAGAAAATGAAATGGTGAGCTTCTGCGTTGACGCTGTGGAGAAGCCACAGCATTTGCCTCTGGAAGAACCCAGGTTGGCAAACTAAGGAGAGGAGGGCGAGGGCAGCAGTAGGCTCCTGTAGCTGCAAGCGCTTGCATTAGCTCTTAATTCCGGCTTTGCTGCTGTTCTCAGCCCATGTCTACAGTATATGGAGACGGGCATCAGGGGTTGTCTGTTCTCTCTCTCTCTCTCTCTCTCTCTCTCTCAAAAGGGTAGCTTGCAGGGTAAGTGTTGGTAGGCAAGAGATCTTGGGTAGTCAGCATTGACTGTATCTGGTGCAAATGTTGTTGACCTGCTTGGGGGTAGCTGTCACACCCACAAACACCTGGTTTACACATTGTCAAGCCATAGTCTGAAACAAGCTGTAGTTTATTGTTAATGGGACCGAAGTAAGGGGTAAATGATTAGCTAAGAGTACTGAAATTAATGAGGTTCAAGCCCACTCGGGCAGTGGCAAAAAAGCAGTGTGTCATAGTGGCTAAAGTTTGACTAAGATGGGGGGATATGGATCCAGACTCCCACTCAGCCCTGAAGCCAGTCAGGGCTGTGGGCCAGTCATGGTTTTTCAGTCTGACCTGTTTCACGGTTTTTGAGAGGATAAAATGGGGAACAGAACCACACCGGCTGCGCAGTGGAACTTTCCTGCCTCTCCTCTCCCCACACATCCCCTAAAGATCTTCTGGGTTTTGCTCCCAACCCTCTGGAGCAGATGGGAGAGGGTTCCAGGCTGGGGGTGGGGGTTGAATGTGCAAGGGGAAATACTACCCATAGACACTGACTGAATGCGTGCCTTGGATACTGCCCATAGACACTGTCTGACTACTTTATGCTTTTCCAGGCTATGCAGGAACTAAAGGAACAGTTTGCAGAAGAGATTCAGCTGCAGAAATCTGCAGCAAAAGAAGAACACGAAAAGGTAAATTATCGGGAGGGAAGGTGCTGCCTGCATGCCTTTTTCTGCACCTGCAAAATTTTCATGACCGACAAGCTGCACAGCCACTGCTGAGTTCAAGTTGGTCTAGTAACCCAGACAAGAACCCTAACCTCTTCCTTTTAGCTCTCTATTTTAAAAAACCCTGTCACTTTTCTGTTTTTCTTTCCCACTTTTCTCCCCCTTCTACCATGAAGGGGCCTGCACTCACCCACTTGTTGGCAAAGCACACACATCAGATGATGTGGGCCAAATATTTGTTATATTTATTATTTTATTTTTATTTTATTTTAAAAAATTATACCCTGTTTTTCACCACATCTGGATTTCAAAGAAGCATTTCAGACAACTTGACTGCAGAACAAACTGGCAATCAATCATTTTCCAATAAAAGAAGATTAATTGTTGGAAGAATTACAACAGCCAATATAGTCAGCGATCAACATTCCGGTCTCTCACTTGAAGGAAACTTCTAGCTTTACCAGCATGTTGGTAGTTCACATCAGCCTGCAGGAAACAGCAAGCTGCCTGCTTTACACATTCGGTGACAGTTCAATAAAGATTTCCATCCTTTTCTGGCAGGTTGTCTCAGCTCTCCAGATGCAGATAGCAGAAGCCCATAAAAGGGAGGAGGCAGAATTACAGAAGCAATTGGAGAGTGCAGAGCAAAATGTTCAGCAGAAGAGGAATCAGGTGGCTGAGTATGAGCGCGAGGTAATGAGGGAGAAACAGAGCCTGGATTTGCTGAGCATCCCACATGTATGCAGAGTCCAAATTACTCTGAGCCAATCTGTGCTATCTGCTTGCAAGGGTGGGGCATGCTGAACGGTGTGGAGGAGCCATTGCATGAACTAACTCCAAAAAAACAAAATCCAGTGCATGATTAAGAGCAGCAGCACCCAGAGCCAGCTTCCTGTCTGCTGGTGGACACAGAGTCCTGCCATGAAGGCTCAATTAGGCATCCAAGAGGAAGAGCTGAGCATTCCTAGCCTAGAAGTTGCCAAGCACTAGGAATAGTTGTGTATCCTCGCTTTTACCTTGGGGTGCAGAGAGTACCTCCAGGAGGGTTTCCCTTGTGCTTCTCATCCAGTGAAGGAAAGCAGCCAGGAACACTGGGCATTGAAACTGCCTTGGCCATCCTGGTTTATAAGAGAGGCAATGGTGGGGAGTGTGACTCTGCCCATTCTCCTCAATCTCTCAGCCACTTTTGAATACTGTTGAACATTGTGTCCTTCTAGAGCATCTCTGGTGGTAGGGGGCACTGTGCTTCCACACCTACCTTGAGGCCCATTTACAGAAAGTTATAGGAGGCTACTGTTCAGTGCCATGGGAATTGTACTGTACTCCCCATGCTATATGAAGCCTCTGGGAGCTGTCATTAGCAGATTTTCAGTGAAGTATGCAGATGCCATCCCAGCTTTAATCTCTCTGTTCCATTTGAATCAGGAGAGGCAATTGAGGTTTTAGACCCACAAGCTTCCTTTCTCCAGCTACTGGTCCTTGCCCTTTACTGACCTCAACCGAGACCAGAAAGGTGGGCATCAGTCTCTGTGCTGGCACCCCCAGATCCTCATGGAGGAGGCAAGACAACTTGGAAATCTCAGTGCTTCACAATATCCAGATGAGGCAGTTGGATGGTGGTGGCTTGTCCACATGCACAGAGCCAGCCATTCAGAATTTTACAGGTAGCAAGTAGGAACTTAGATTGTGTCTAGAAGCAGCACTCTGGCTACCCACTCAAGCTCAGAAGCACCACAGGCAAGGGGCTCCCAGCAGCTCATGTCCGCTGAAAAGTGAGCCACTGCTGGAATGGTAGCTGGGAATGTTGGCTTAGACAGGGTCCCTTTGACATCCCTACAGCTTAGTGACCTCCTGAAGGAGAAGCGCCAGGAAGTTGAGCGCAACCATGCGAGGCAGCTGGAAAAGATGCAAGAGGCACACAGGGAAACCATAGCCGAGATCCAGGCACAAAACGAGGATGAGGTAAGCCTGCAGCCAAACCATTTGGTGGGGAAAGTGAGCGCTGCATGTGGGTAGCATGTGGCTGCGTCCTTTTTGAACACCAGTAACCTAGATGTGTGGGTGAAGGCGTTTGAGGATTGGAAAGAGCTCCGCTTGTGAGTGTGGCCTCCCTTCCTCTGTAACCCGAGGTACCACTGTATGGCTAGAGCTAACTCTTGTGCTTGATGTGTGGCAGGAGAGGAAGCAGAGGACTGAGCTGCTGGCAACCCTGCAAAGTGAGCAGGAGCGTTTGGAGCTGCACCATAAAGCAGAGCTCGATGCCTTGCAGAAAAAGCAGGCCGAACAATTGAAGGACTTGCACAAGAGTCATTTGGACCAGGTAGGGAAGGGAAGTGCTGGTGGAAAAGGGCGGGGAAGAATGGACAGCATGAGAGTCCCTTCAGAGGGGCACGTGGATCTTATTCCCCCACTGTAGTGTTGTGGCTGGGGGGCAGAAACATAACTAGACCCATTGGAGATGCTTCCCCACCAGCAGTTTAAATGACTTGTATGCCCACAGGTCCCAGCCACAGAATCTGGGACACAAGACGGCTAACTCCATTGAAAGCACTCCTGGAATTAGGTCTTTAAAAATTGTCCCAGCTGTGTGGAAGCTGCTCATTAGAGAGCAGTTCCCAAGTTGTGGCTCTGAAGTGGAAACATCATCATCATCATAATTTTTTATTATTTATACCCCCCCCAATCTGGCTGGGTTTCCCCAGCCACTCTGGGCAGATTCCAACAGAATATTAAAATACAATAGTCTATTAAACATTAAAAGCTTCCCTAAACAGGGCTGCCTTCTGATGTCTTCTAAAAGTCTGGTAGTTGTTTTTCTCTTTGACATCTTGTGGGAGGGCGTTCCACAGGGCAGGTGCCACTACCGAGAAGGCCCTCTGCCTGGTTCCCTGTAACTTGGCTTCTCACAGCAAGGGAACTGCCAGAAGGCCCTTGGCACTGGACCTCAGTGTCCAGACAGAACAATTGGGAGGGGAGGAGACGCTCCTTCAGGTATACTGGGCTGTGGCCGTTTAGGGCTTTAAATGTCAGCACCAACACTTTGAATTGTGCTCAGAAACGTACTGGGAGCCAATGTAGGTCTTTCAAGACAGGTGTTATGTAGTCTCAGCAGCCACTCCCGGTTACCCGTCTAGCTGCCACATTAGTTGTGGTTTCCAGGTCACCTTCAAAGGTAGCCCCACATAGAGCGCATTGCAGTAGTCCAAGCGAGAGATAACTAGAGCATGCACCACTCTGGCGAGACAGTCTGCAGGCAGGTAGGGTCTCAGCCTGCGTACCAGATGGAGCTGATAAACAGCTGCCCTGGACACAGAATTGACCTGTGCCTCCATGGACAGCTGTGAGTCCAGAATGACTCCCAGGCTGCGCACCTGGTCCTTCAGATGCACAGTTACCCTATTCAGGACCAGGGAGTCCTCCACACCTGCCCACCTCCTGTCCCCCAAAAACAGTGCTTCTGTCTTGTCAGGATTCAACCTCAATCTGCTAGCCCACAATATGGTGCAGGAAGGGTTGTGGGTACTGCTTCCCCCTCTTAGATATTGTGTGTTGTTTTGTCATACTGCTAGAAGACTTCCTCTTCATTCCATCCCATTTGACATGTGATTACCATGTTCTGTGTGACATTATTGACTGACTGTTGCTGAATATTGTGGAAGACTTCAGTACCTACCTGCATGTCCGATCACTCTCTTTGTACCAGGAGCAAAAGATCCAGAGCATGAAATCAGAACTGGAGCTCCAAGCCAAGGATATGGAGGCAAGACTCTCTCAGCTCCATGCCCAGGTGAGCACAAATGTGCTGCTAATTGCAGCATTGATAGTTGTGAGACTGACGTCCTTGAAGATTGGAACAGGAAAGGTCCTGGACTTTGTGGGAAAGCTCCCTACTCTGGATTCTAGCCTTGCCACCAGCTCCTGCATCTATGTACATTTGTCCTTCTGTTCTCAGCAGAGGATGAGAGAATACAGGAAAGTCTGTAACACACTCCTGGTAGAGGAGCCACATCCCATTCTTGACACATCCTTCTACAGGAGATCTAATTATTTGCTCTTGGGCTTCTCCAGAACTAGATGAAAGACCACCAGCCCTCTCATGCCAGAAGAGGTTTCAGCCAACATTTCTATACATTCTAGACCTTTTTGAAGTACTTGGCCCTCCTCAATCTGGTCTTCACCCAACAGTTTTCAGAACCAGCTGACTATCTAGCACTCCAGTTGAGAAAGCCAACAAAAAAGGTCAAGTCATCCTCAACATGATCCAGGGCTTTCTCCCATGGAGGGAAGCTTCAGCATCTGTCTTCAGGCAGGTGGATCCTGTAGACCAGAGGTTTTCAACCTTTTTTTCCCCACAGTTCCCTTGACAAACTACATTCTTTTGGCGGCACCCGTGTGGGGCTCAGGAGCCCAGTTATGTCACCCCTTGCCTGCAGAGCTGGCAGCCTCTTACCCTTTTTCAAGCACCCTCCCTTTTGGAGTATTCCCTTAGCCTCCTCTCCTCTCCCCTCTCCTTGGGAGTCGCTGGGGAGCTGCAGCTGCCACGCCTGGTCTCTGAGCTGCCCCCCCAACCCAAAGAGAGGTGTCTGTTCACACTGCCCCAGAGGGGGCTGAGAAGCACCCCCTGGCCAGCCCCAGGGGCACCATTCACCTGGGGAGCTTGTAGTCAGGGCTGCTGCAACAAACAGCTGTGCAAGCCTTTGGGAGGCAGAGACGCGAGAGGGCGTCAGAGGATGGAGGGAAGGAAAGAGGGACAGAGGCCAGTGTTGCCCGTGGCACCCCTGACCATCATTCAAGGCACCCCAGGGTGCCACGGCACACTGGTTGAGAACCACTGCATGAGTATGTGTTTGAGTTCCATTCCTCGACAGATTTGTTGCTTTTCAAATCTCCCAAGAATCCAACACCAAAGATTTATCACAGCTGTTTGATATCTTCTGAACATAGGTGTCATTCTCTGGGTCTTCTCCATCTCCATGTTCCACAAAAAGAACAGGGCCTGGAGGATAATCTGGGGCCTCAAATTTCTGAATTGTTTTATGAAGGAGAAGGGGTTCATTTTGGAGGCATACAGCCAGGGGGTAACTTGGGAAGCTGCAGACAACACCTTGCTTGGAAGGAGGCTTCTGCCAGAGGTGCTGTAAGGACTTACATCTGCCAACATCTGGAGTTACTGCATTTGGACATTTCTCTTCTGTCTGCTCCACTCCCTGCTAACTGAGAATGGGAAACTGTATTTACCATGCTCTGGTTAGCTTGGACTGGAACAGACAGACCCACCAGAGAGTTCAGTGTTGTCCCTAAGTAGTTGAGTTTGGGGGGCACCACACAAACACATGGAACACACGTGCACACCACCAGGAGCCGAGAGAATTCCTGGGTGGGTCTGTCTGCTCCATTGTCAGTGTGGCAGGCTGCCACCAATTTTGCGAGTGTGTGTGTTCAACTCCAGAAAGGACTTGTCAGTTGTGCCAGCTGCTGGGCCTTCCCCAAGTGACCAATTTACCTTCTTCATTTTCTTGTTCTTTGTTCCCATGCAGGAGGAGATCCTGAGGAAGAAAAGGCAGCAGGTGCTGGAGCAAGAAAAGGAGCTGGAGCAAGAAAGAAATGTAGGTGTTGCCAGCTCTGACAAGGACTGAGAGCCCCTTTTCTCCTGTGCCAGGGGTGTGCTTGTTGTCTTCTCACCAGCCAGTGTGGTGTAGTGGTTAAAAGCGGTAGTCTCATAATCTGGGGAACCGGGTTCGTGTCTCCGCTCCTCCACATGCAGCTGCTGGGTGACCTTGGGCCAGTCTGAAGTCTCTCAGCCCCACTCACCTCACAGAGTGTTTGTTGTGGGGGAGGAAGGGAAAGGAGAATGTTAGCCGCTTTGAGACTCCTTAAAGGGAGTGAAAGGCGGGATATCAAATCCAAACTCTTCTTCTTCTTCATTAGTCAGAGTAAGAGACCTCAGGGAGGAGACCAAGGTTCCGAATGCCTGCTTCTGTCAATCCATGACTGAAGCTGGAGTTTGGTTTCCTGTTCTAAGCCACTTCACATAGGGCAGAGGTAGGCAAGGTTCCCTGACTGGCCTGGCATGTACAGTGGTGAGATGCTGTCTGTTTTAAGTAAGGCCATGGATCCTTCTAGCCGAGCTGTGTATACACAGTTTCCCTTGTTCATCAACATGGTGGATCGCCTCTTCCATAGATAAGACCAAGGCTTTAGTTCCTGGCAGGGGTAAGCAAGCCCTGAGCTAGAAACTTGGGCTAGCCAGCCACTTGGAGTTAGCTGCTGTGTTGGCCAAGCGACCAAGGCCACTCTTCCTCGCCTCCCCTTCCTCTCATCATTGATTTAGAGAGGTAGAGGGAGGGAGGGTTGGGTTTGTTTCCTTCCTTGATAAAACAGTCGTGGCCATTGCAGAAGCAGAGAATGGCTGCTGTTGGGTTTTCACCTCCCCAATGGTCTTTCCTTTGCCGTGACATGTGCTGTAAGAGCTGCATTTCACCACCTTTGAGGATTATATGATGGCGCTTCAGGTTCATAATAACCTTTATACGTGTGAGAAGAAAAACAACAAATGCTTGGAACTTTCTCAGGAAGCAGCTTTGGCAGCTCAGCGCCGCCTCGAGGAATCCCAAAAAGAGCAGGAGGATCTTGCGGAGACAACACGGCAGCTGCGTAGGGATCTGGTGGAGCTTCAGGACCAGAAATCGGAGCTGGAATCCCAGGTGGAGATGCTACAGCTACAGAGTCAGCAGCTGCAGAAGAGGGTCAGGTGTGTGTTTGGCTGGCACCAAATGAGTTTGTTCTTGGTGAGACCAAACTGTCTTTGAGAGATTACCTTATGAGCCACAGTTACTACCAGGTCTTGGGAAATATCTGGGAGTGGTGATGAGCTCCTCTTCCCCCCAAAAGACCTTTCTTTTTGTAAAAAAACAAACAAAAGTAAGTAAGATTTTTATTAAAGTTTTTAATAGTACAATAAGATCTAGAAAGCTAGTGTAAATATTTTTTTTAAAAAAAAACTACAAAGGTACAGATAAAGTAAGTGGAAAAAACTTTCTTGGAGAAACTTAATCTGGAGTTTGAGTTTACACTTTGGCAACCAGTCATTGATAAACCTGGCTAGTTACAATGACAAGACTCAAGACTAACTGAAGTAGAATAGACAGTTTATTGATGATAAATAAATGCAGTAATATTGACTGAATGGGGAACCCATAGGCCAGCTGCAGCCTATAGCTGGATTCATCTGACCCTCTGAATCCTCTCATTCCCATCTGCTGTTGAGACAGGTGGGAATCAGCTGAGGGAGAAGATGGTCTTAATATTCACAGTGTGCCTTTCTAACTCCTTCCTCTGCAAGATCTGTGGCAGGCAGATCAGAGGGAGAAATGTCTCTGGAGAAAGGCAAATGTGATGTTTAATTGTATTTTTAATATTTTGTTGGAAGCCACCCAGAGTGGCTGGGGAAACCCAGCCAGATGGATGGAGTATAAATAAATTATTTATTATTATTATTATTATTATTATTATTATTATTATTATTATTATTATTATTTCCTTGTAAAAGTGCAAAAAGTGTCTATAATGCAGTTGCATCATGCACACTCATAGAAGGCGCTATCCAAAAGGTATTCATTCCCCTTCCTGCCTTGCTGGATAGAGCTGCTCCAAGGCATCTCCTTTGTGTTAGTGTCATGTCCCCAACCTTTAGCCCACAGGTTTTGAGTGAGGATCTACCAGAGCTCGATGCCAGGTGGAACGGCAGGCAGTTCTAGCTGCTGTGTGCTTGTGCTTTATCTCTCTCCCTGTGCTGTTTATAGTGAGCTGGAGACAGCCATCGAGAGCAGGCAAGAGCTGCTGAATAAGGTGGAGGTGGAAAGCAGCAAGACGTCTCCAGAGAAAAAGGAGGAAGCCCTCCGGGTTGAGGACCTGAAAGAGAGTGCCCAAGCGGTCAGTGGAGTATTGCTGGTGTGTTGGGTGGGGAAGTGGAGCCAGTCCTTGCCATTGACCCAATTTTCAGGTCCAGAACTTGGACTTGGATTTGTAGTGGGAATGAATGATGTGCATCTCCATCCTCTTCAGAAAGTGCCATAATTTTTGTCCATATGATGCAAACCAGGGTATAAATAATCACCAGTTATTGGGTTGGGAGGATGGGAGTTGTGAAGATGAAATAACTACCCCAAATATCTATTGTTTCGTTTTTTAACATGGTTGGTTAGGGACCCAATCCCAATATCTAATCTGAAATAAATAGTTTTGGGATTTTATGGTGCCGAGACTCAAATTTCAATTTAATGTATTTAGGTAGTAGTAGAAGTTGAATTTTGATTTCTAATATTGAACTGTTATTAGGCAATAATATTAGTTGCATTAACACAGAGGTTTCAGGTACTAAGGGACACTTGCCCTTGGATAGCAGAGCAATTTGAGATTGAGACATCATTGTCAGGTTATATAATAGACAATATTGTTGCATCTTCAATCACACACAAATGGGGGGAAATTGTTTAATCACACCATACCAGAGGGAAAGTGGAATCGGATGTGTGAATATGGGCCAGAGCATTCGATAGGTGCAACATTAAAGGTAGCTTTTTATAAAACCATACATAGTTGGTATATTATATGCCAGTAAGATTCTCAGTAATGTTTCCTATAATGTCTGAATCAATAAAAGGTAGTTCTGCCCACATTTGGGTGGGACAGCAGTTTGATAAAGGAATTTTGGGAGGAAAGTAATGGTACCATCAGATAAATAACAGGTTCGGACTTTAAAAACATAAAGTACTGGATAAGAAAAGTTGGTTGTTTTGGTATCACATATGCGGATCACAATTGCTAGGCTTTAGGGAAGTGGTACTGTTTCAACAGTTCATCATTAGCTGAGGAAGATTTGAGATATTTTAAATAGTTATTTTATTCATTAGAATGAACAGTTATGGGAGGCCAGTTCAGAGTTTTCAGCAGAACTCGATACTATTTTGATTTGGTATCAGCACAGAACTGATAAAATGGTTGTAACTAATATACTGAGCGTATGGCATAATGTTATATAGTTGTTGTAAGGAGATCTAAACAAACGCAAATTTTAATAAATAAATAGCAATAATTGCTCACTGATGCCAGTATTCTTAAAATGTGTCTGTTTCAGTTATCAGTAACAGCAGACTTGTGAACTCTCTGAAAATGAAATTTATAGTGGCAGAATGTCCTATCCAAGGGTTTTAGTAGTGAGATCATTATTTATGTGCCATCGTTATGCATGGATTTTTAGAAGTCCCCAAGGAAGATTCCATGTAAATGTGTAAAGTAACAATAAGGAAGAGAGGATCTTTTCTCCATCCCTGAAAGGAGGCAATTTCATCCAATGCTTCGCAGGCTCCAGAGAGTTGGGGCTCAAAGGTGATTTACAACTGCAATGATGGATAGAAGAGGATGAACTTTGGAAATGGGCTGTGTTCTCAAATAATTGTTGGCCCAATTTGAAATCTAGGTCCACCTTGTTGTTGATGATTGCGTAATTTTAGTCCCAGGTGCCATCATTTTCTGTGGGCAGAATGGGGTTCAGCATTTATTTGCCTGTTAATTAACAGATTTTAATAATCATTAAACCCTCCAGCCCTCCCCTGGAGAGATGTCGACTTCAAAGGGCAATGAAGAAAGGAGTGTCCTCCTGGAACAGTAAGTGAAAGAAACCTGCGATGCTCCATGAGGAGCCGAATGTGCTGCTTGGACAGTTGTTGAGGGCAAAGCAGTGGGGTTTGGCTGGTTGGCCTCCCCATGGGAGGCTGATGGTGCTGTTCTCTGAGAGCCCCACATAGCATGGGCTACTTCAGAGTTGAAGGAACGTGGTTTGGTGTTTTTTGGGACCCGTCAAGAAGCCTTGCTCAAATCTTCCCTCCCTGCAGGGTGCAGCGCACCGTTTTTGCCGAAGGAGCTACCTTGAAGACAGCCAAGGAGTTCTTGGTGCGCAATACCCGCTCCATGCACAGAAGGCAAACTGCCTTGAGAGCAGCAAAGCAACATTGGCCTTGCGACCCGCAGAAGGCACCAGGGACCGCTCAAGACTTTGGACGCTTCCAGCGGCTGGATGGTGTGCGCAAGAGCCTGGAAACGGTGAGTTGCAGCCCTGGGAAAAATTGGCCTGATTCTGATCAAGCCTGCTGGGTAGTGGGCCAACCTCACAGGGTGGGTGGGGAGACACAGACTGACCCTCCCTCCTGGATTCCAGCACGGTAGACAAGCTGGATTTGTGCTATTCTCCAATGAGAACTGGTTGGAAGGGAAGACTGTCTTACAGTGTGGTGGATGTGCACACCTGCGCCCATCTTGGCATTTGCCTCTTGGGGGAATTAAAGCAGCTCTTTGGCAGTGGCCGTTTGCTGCAAGTCAGGGAGGGATGGAACAACAGCAGCAGGTGGAAGCAAGCCGTAGAGCAGGGGCTGTTTGGGTGTTTGCACCCATAGGGCTCCCATAAACTTTGTGTGTTTCATTTATTGGCATACAGACAAAAATCTGAAAGGTTCAGTACAATAAAATCACCTGGCAAAATCTGACAATTAAAATACTGTTGTCTAGCATTCACAAATCCTCACTGTGTGTTGCAGAAACCTGGCTTCTCTCTCCAATTTATCCCCATCCTGAGTAAACACTGTGTATTTCATTTTGGCCTTGGTATTTCACCATTCTTATTTGTTTGTTTGTTTGTCCACTCCCAAGGCACAGTGCAAACGATACTAAGTGAAATAGAAAAGCAGCAGAAAATTAAAATCGCGGCAGAGTTAAAACTAGCTCAAAACACACTTTTAAAGGCCTGGGGGAAATCAAACGGCATCTGTTGGTACTTTCACTGCCATTGTCAGCAGTAGTCAGAATGATGCTGAAAAATAACGAGATGCTTCCTCCTCCCCAGGAAGAGAAGACGCTGGATGAGATGAACACCACCATGCAGAAGGGGAAAGGGCTGGTGAAGCAGACCGAGGAAGTGCTCAGCCAGCTGATGTCCTCGCTGGAAGAGGTATCTCCACATTGCTTGAGCCATGCCTCTTCTTGCAAGCCAGAGTGGAGAAGAGGCGTCAGGAGTAGAGCCCACTGAAGCAACTGGTCCAAGATCTTGCCAGGATTGTCTTGGGAAGGAACTGTATACTGCCTTAGCTGCTTTCCAGGGTGTAAATCCCCAGGGCGTGTTTGAGCCACTCTGCTTCCATTTGTGCTCTCCGACGTGGGTGGCCCTGTGGTCTAAACCACTGAGCCTACGGCTTGCCGATTGGAAGGTTGGCGGTTCGAATCCCCACGACTGGGTGAGCTCCCGTTGTTCGGTCCCAGCTCCTGCCAACCTAGCAGTTCGAAAGAATGTCAAAGTGCAGGTAGATAAATAGGTACCGCTCCGGCAGGAAGGTAAACGGCGTTTCCATGCACTGCTCTGGTTTTGCCAGAAGCAGCTTAGTCATGCTGGCCACATGGCCCAGAAAAACTTTCTGCGGACAAACAAATGTCGGCTCCCTTGGCCAGTAAAGCGAGATGAGCGCTGCAACCCCAGAGTCATTCGCGACTGGACTTCACTGTCAGGGGTCCTTTACCTTTACCTAATAGGGGTGCCTGCTATCTTTGGACCAACCGGAGTGGCCATCTTTGTCTTCCAACCTGCCTGGAATAGCATGGAGTTCAGCTTGTACAAGAACTGGAAGAGGCCAGTGGCCCATCTAGTCCAATATCCTGTTCTAACAGTGTATGACCAGATGCCTCTGGGAAACCCAGAAGCAGGACAGGAGCTCCAGAGCACTCCTACATTGTGAGTGTGTCCTGGAAAAGGCCAAAATGGGGAGCAGCTTTTAGGATCTATCCTCTGGGGGTAGGGAGGGAGCTTCCATCCCTACTTCTGCCAGTCACCTGGAATGGGGACCCCATAACTTCTCATAAGGAAAAGTAGAATTTGTGAGTAAGGGACAAGTTAAGCTGGTTATTTTACAATGGTTTTTATGGGAAACATTTCAATGGAGCAAAATAAAATGGAAATATAAAGCGAATATTTAAATAATGAGGAGCAGGGGAAGAGACACGTTAGTTGTGAGAACCTGGGTTGGCATCCTTTTTGCTGACTGCCTGGAAAAGTTGGCCCTGGAGCCTCTGCTTTGCCTTCTAGCTGGCAGGAAGTGCTCACTAGAGTAGTAAGGAAATCCTCTTTCCTTCTCCCAGCTCTCTGATGAAGATACACTGAAGGGAATGGCCTGCAAGAAGGTGGTGACCTTTGATGTCACTGACTCGGAGGACACCAGCGGTGTGATGAACACGGATGAACCTCTCCGCAAAGGTAAGAGTTCGTTTTTTTAAAATGCTCTGAGCAGCATCACAGTACCAGCATTCAGTGCCTTTTTGCCCATTTTACACCAACCTGCCATCTGTCAGGTGCCCCCTAGCTAGCTGTGTTTTAGAGGGAAACATGTTAGAAGTTAGGGGCGCTGTGGGTAAAACCTCAGTGCCTAGGGCTTGCCGATTGCCTGGTCGGCGGTTCGAATCTCCGCGGCGGGGTGAGCTCCCGTCTTTCGGTCCCTGCTCCTGCCCACCTAGCAGTTCAAAAGCACCCCTAAGTGCAAGTAGATAAATAGGGACCACTTTCTAGCGGGAAGGTAAACGGCGTTTTCGTGTGCTGCGCTGGTGCTGGCTCGCCAGAGCAGCTTTGTCACGCTGGCCACATGACCCGGAAGTGTCTCCGGACAGCGCTGGCCCCCGGCCTCTTAAGTGAGATGGGCGCACAACCCTAGAGTCGGACACGACTGGCCCGTACGGGCAGGGGTACCTTTACCTTTTATGTTAGAAATTCCTTTGGCAGTGAAATGGGTCTGGCGCTTTCCCTTCCTCTTGCCCTGCCCCAGTTCTCGGCCTCTCAACTGGGAGATGTTGCCTTCCATTTTGTCAGTGCTCCCTTCCTTCTGCTCTCCTGGGGTGACCAGAAATGCTGTGTGGCATTTTGGGGTCAGCACGTTTCGTGATGTGAGATGAGAATATTCTTTGGAGAATCAAGAATGAGAATATTCTCTGCTAGAAAATTCTCCAGAGAATATTCTCCACAAGCTGTAAATTCTAACGTAAGAACCAGTTTTACAACCCACATTTTAAAAATCTAGTAAATAATAAGTCAAGTTGTGATATTGCCAGTGTAAGCAATGAGTAATGAATTTTTTGATCCAGTTACATTGCTGGGCATTGTATTCTATTTTAAATGAGAATTCTGTAATATTCTCTTTAATCAAGAATATTCTCGAGAATATTCTTGAGAATTTAACATCACTAAGCACATTCTCCCTTGGCTGCTGAGCTTTGCACACCTCCTATTCTAGGAAGCCACGATAAAGTCTAACCTTGCCTCTTTTGTCCAGGGATGGGGTGAAATACTTGGACTCGGCCTGTCGTGTGTGAGCTGTGGGTTGGTTTCAGACTTGCAGGTGAAAATGTTCTCTACTGCATAGTCTCTGGCTCCGTCACTCTCTCTCTTCCTCTCTCCCCATAGTCGCTGACATGAAACCGGACCACCAGTTCCTTCCCTTTGATGAGATCCAGTACCTGGCCAACTCGCTGCAGCGCCTCACCAGTGACCTGATGGTTGTCCTCCAGCACCTGAGTTCCTTCTGCAACCAGCCGCTTCCCCTCTTCACTTCCACCCAGGGTCCCACCTCCACATTGCCTAGAGATAGAGTTCCCATAGCTACCTGTAACCCTCTGGCAGATTCCCATTCTGCCACACCGTCTGTACCCAACACTCTCCCCCAGTGGGTCTGGGCTGGCTCAGGTCCCAGCCCCTCTGCTCCGGCAGGCCAGTCAGTGGACGCCATGCTGATGGAAAAGTGGCGCAAGTATTTCCCAGGTGAGAATGTGTCAGCGTTTTGTTCTTTTGGGGTATTCAGAGGGTCATAATGGCAGTTATGAGCCAATGGGAAATTGCAAATATACATGGAGTGGAGAGGGCTTAGGGCAGAGGTGCAGGGAGAGAGAGGTCTCTTTCTTTGGTTTTTGAATACAGCAACAACACCTAACGGCCTGAGATCTTCGTTTCCAAAGGGGAAGTGTGATACTGGCTGTTTCATTTTTCAGTCCCTTTGCTAATGGGGCCTAACATAGAATTTGCCTTTTACATGGCTCCTGCACACCAGATTGACATCTTCATTGAGCTATCCACTATGGCCCCAAGGTCTCATTCCTGGTTAAAGGTAAAGGGACCCCTGACCATTAGGTCCAGTCGTGGCCGACTCGGGTTGCGGCGCTCATCTCGCTTTATTGGCCGAGGGAGCCGGCGTACAGCTTCCGGGTCATGTGGCCAGCATTACTAAGCCACTTCTGGCGAACCAGAGCAGCACACGGAAACGCCGTTTACCTTCCCGACGGAGTGGTACCTATTTATCTACTTGCACTTTGAGGTGCTTTTGAACTGCTAGGTTGGCAGGAGCAGGGACCGAGCAACGGGAGCTCACCCCGTCGCGGGGATTTGAACCGCTGACCTTCTGATCGGCAAGTCCTAGGCCCTGTGGTTTAACCCACAGCGCCACCCGCGTCCCCATTCCTGGTTAGCTACTGCCAGTTCAGATTCCAGAAACATATATGTGAAATTAGGAATTTTTGACCCGGTATTCATCACTTTACATTAGCTTACACTGAACTGCATTCGCCATTTTTTGTGATTTTTGTTTCATTGGGTGACCAACTTGTTTACAAGAGAAGTTTTTGCTCTTTTCTGTTCAGCCTGGGAGTTTGAGAGCCCCTCCCAAACAGAAGAGTCACTGGACAAGCCAGCCCTGCACCCTGCAGGGACCTTTGGAGGTCCTTGAATGCCCTGCTTCATCTCTCCTTAAGAGGGAAAGCAGGAGTTGCTTCTGACCCATGCGCATGCACGGCAAGTGGCAGGGCAGTGGTAGCCTGGCAGTCCCATGCTGGGCTAAAAACTGATACTCTCTTCTGTTCCAGGCAGGTTCCCTCTGTCCTCTGGAAGTCCTGGACCTCTGGATGGCACGCTGGGCTACGTGTCACCTGGGTAAGGCATCTTTATACTGCTGACAACTGGCCAGTCAGGCTAAATAGTTGGATATTCTAAGCAGGGGTGGCCAACTCTCAAGAGACTGTGATCTACTTTCAGAATTAAAACTAGCAGTGATCTACCCCCGTTTTTGGGGGGGTTCAGCTTGAGGTTGGTTGTTGAGCTTTTTTTAGGGAGGAGAAAAGCTCCCCTTTTTAGAGGTTTTTAAAAAAGATTTTTTGGGGGGATTTCTGTTTTTTGGAGGTTAAAGGCAAGGGACAAAAGGGGTAAAGTCACTCACAAAAAGATCGCTATGGATCAAAACAGCACAGAGGAAGCTCCGTCTTCCCTTCCAGAGATCCTACAACAATGGAGGGCAGGCCGAGGGGGCGTGGCAGGAGTCAGTTTTAGCGACGCTAAGGAAAGGGAGCCAGAGATCGACCGTGATCTACCAAAACCTCGCGGGGTTCTACCAGTTGATTGTGAATCGACCTGTTGGACATCCCTGTTCTAAGGCACTACACCCTGTTCTAGAAGAATCATTTTGTCTTGTGAAATACCCTTCTTCCCCCTTGCCTTCACATTAGGGGAAGTGGGAACACCTTGTATCTGAAAGGGCCAGCAGCACATTTTTTGGAGAGGGCAGTGGCCTGAATAGTCCACTAGGATGTCTCATTCTCCCTAAACACCTCCAACACCACCTTACTTGACTGCTGCACTACCTCATTATTAGCGTGCTCCTTGATACCTACACTTTTAGGGCACTTGATTGATTCTTGTTGGCTACTTTGAGAACAGGATGTTAGACTAGGTGGGCCACTGGCCTGATCCAGAAGGACCATTCTTCTGTTCATTATTCATCCCCTCCACCCTTCTGCTTCTTGACAGCGAGCAAGTCCGCCTGCTCCAGCGCCGTGGGGCGGAGAAGCCGAACATCCAGAGCATGATTGAAGCCAACAAGAAATGGCTAGAAAGCTTCAAGCAGGATTCCAGAGTGTATCCTTTTGTTCTTGCCTGGCCTCTGTCTTAGGACCAGAACCTCAAAGCACTTAGTTGCCTGTTCAAACTTTAGCAACCTCCCCAAAGAAACAGATAGCCTGCAGAAATGATGTTTGAACCCATCTATATGGGTGGGTGTTTAACAACCCAGCAACACGTTCAGTCTGTACTTGACCACAGTTTTCCCTGTGTTGGTAACCTCAAGGTTGGATTACTACAGTGAACTCTGTGAGGCTACCCTTGAGCTTGGTTTGAAGGCTGCAACTGCTGCAGAACAAGCTACCTCCAGCATATAGCGCCTTGCTTGCGGGACTTGCATTGGCTCCCAGCCTGCTACTGGGCCAAGTTCAACATGTTGGTGCTAGCATGTAAGGCCCTATACAACTCAGTACTAGGCTACCTGAGAAGCTGCCTTATCTCTTACAATACCCAGTAGGTCACTGCAGGAGAGTTTTTCTTAAAGGTTCCCAAGAGATCAGCAGCCTGCTCCACAGTAACTTTCAGGAGGTCTTTTAGTGTGGCCCTGTTCTGTGGAATGATCTGCACTTTCTGAAAAGCAAATGTAGACATTTTTGTCTTTCCCAGCTGGGTGCCTACTTGGTACTGTTTTAAAAAGCATTTTTATTGCATTGTGCACATCACCTTGTGCCTTCTAAAGCAGTATAGGGGGGGGTGTAAGCAGGGATTTAATTGCTTGACAGCAGAGGGCGCAGTCTGAGCTGCCTCTCGTGGTGGCTTCCTGCAGCAGTTTCTGGCTTCTCATGGTGGCTTCCTGCAGCAGTTTCTGGCTCCTGTGCAGTTGACCACTGCTGTAAGGATTGTTGAGCTACATCACCTTTGTCATGAGTGGAATGCATCCTCAGCCTCTGATCCCCTCTGCTATGTTCTTGGGCTTTTCCTTCACCCAGACCGCCAGCCCTCTCCTGCCAAGTCCCTCAAAGCCCTTGACCAGCAGCCCTGGTTTGCTGCAGCTCAGACTGGACAAGAGCAACCGACTCGAGGTCTACAACTTCTGAACCACTGGGCGAAGTCCAGCTGAAAGGCAGTTCCCAGCAGCAAAGACTTGGGAGTTCTCCCTGCTTGACAATACATGGCATTTCCCCTGTACCTGGCAGCCTCATTGCCTGCTTTCTTGAGCCGTGTCCGGGCCATCGAGCCTGGCTCTTTGAAGAGAAGGGCAGCTGCAGGAGATTTGCCTGGTCCAAATGCACAAGACAGGCCATGAATTCAGTGGGGGAAACAATCAAAGCATTATTAACCAGTAGCTTTCTGGTTGGTCTTCTGTTAACCCAAGGAAGTGCCCGGGAGGTGAAATCACTTTCCTTGAGGGAAGGAGGTGATAATTTCTCAGAGGAGGACAGTGCCTGAGAGCATGAACAGCAAAATGGCAAAAGCTTGAAGCCTTGAGCTGCTTTGCCTGTGCTGCTGCTGCCGCCTCTCCCAGTCCTGAATGCAACAGTGTCTTCTGGCTATTGGCTTCTATTCCAAAAGATTTTTATCTGAAGCAAGTCTTGTCTTCCAAAGCTGCAACACACACACACACACACACACTCACACACAGCCAGCCAGCCCAGATATCCTACTTCGGGCTTGGGTGAGCAGTTTGCAACTCTTATGAGGGTGGAGAGCAGCGGATGCTGAAGCAGGCAAGAAGAGCTGGTTGCACTTGAATTTCCTAGTTTGCCGAATCTTCCAGTTTTCATTGGGTCTCGCAGGCTCCCTTCCCTGCTCAGGTTATCTAGCTTTCCAAGCAGCAGAGCTAGCTGGGCAAATGCTCCTGAGGCTCTCCTGCAGGGGCTCTCCTGTATTCCCAGCTGGTGCCAGAGCCACATGTGCTTGTGCTGGAGCCACAAAATCAGGTGGGCAGCGGCCACATGTGAACTCCAGTGTACCTACTGAAAGTAGTGGAAGCTCTTTGCCGAAGCTTCCTCCGGAAAATTTAATCCTGTGTGTGTCCCTCATTTTTTTTAGGCCAGATGTCTGGCTGCTGTCTTACTTTTGAGGTTCCAGCTGGCTCTGGCTTTTAAGGCACAAAGAGGGCAGCATGCCCCTAGAGCGGGTGCTTCAGCAACACCCACGCTCAGCATGCCCAGGGGCTCCTCTCCATTCTCTTCCCTCCGTTCCTGACATTTCTCCATGCAGATCTCTGCTGCGAGTTGTCCTGCTGCTCTCCTATGGTTCCTTCACAGCACCTTATAGCTTTATGAGGGTCCCCTTCTGGAGTGTACCCAGGCAATAGAAAGGGCTTACATCCTTGTCTTGTGTCAAAGTGTGTGTTATGGCAAGAGAACTGGTGTAGGCCGTCAGCTGCTGGCTGTATTTTGTATACCAATTAAATGGACGCTTGTACATCTGTGTTGGTTTTGCCCCTTTTTTTCTCCACTGCATTAGATCTAGTGGGTACTTGCTCCCCCTTCTGCCCTTTCACCTGGTACACCTGGTATCCCCCATCCACTCACTGTTTCTTGAGCCTTCCACTTTTCCAGCTGCCAGATTTCTGTTCTGCAGTCAATGCAGAAGCCCTCATGGAGGAGGATAGTGATGGAGGAGAAAGTTGGTGTTACCGATAGCTACATCCACAAACGTCTGAAAAATGTGAAATGCACTCAATAGACAAACCACACTGCCCTTTTGCTGGCTACGGAATTCTGCCTTCTGATAAGCCGTAAATAGAGAATCCCTTTATTGGTAGATTTTTTTGTACGCTTCCTCTGTGTTCAGTGGCAATGCAGCCCCTTGCTCGGAGTGCAATCCCCGGGAAAGCAAATAAAACCACAAGCCTCCCTCTTGACTCCTAATCCCTGATCTGCGCATCTACTCCTGCCCAGTGCTCTCCATGTGTGTGCGAGACAGAGAGTGAATGGGAACGTGACGCTCTTTGGGCCTAAGTGTTTGGAGATTAGAGGCTCCCAAGGGCAGCAGGTTTTTCAAATAGGACAGGCCTTCTTTCTAAGCTCATTAGGACATTTGGCAGCGGCTGGCCCTGTTGACGCACCAGGAGTGTGGCTCGTCACGGACTGACCTGAGGCACGCTGGCCTTCTGTGGGGGGCTTCTTGACTTCTCTCACCATGCTGGGGACACTGATGACGGCACTCTATTTCATGGTGAAAGCATTGGGTCAGGTCAGTACTTCTTTCATTCTAGAGCAAGGCCTTAGGAAGTAATGACAGAAAGCAAAGCAGAAGATGGCTCCCTTCCCTGTGGTTTATTTGGGCATGGAAGGGGGGTGTAGTTTTGCTGTGATGTTACTAGAAAGGAGAGTGCTGGTTCCACCCAACATGGCATTCCCGAAAGCTGGAGCTTGAGGCTTCATTCTAGGAATTTTACCTATTGCAAGCGGTACCATGTGTGATACCAGTAGAGGAGCAAGTGGGGCAGCTTGATTTGGGCTGCTGAGGTGGGGGGGTTCCAGCAGCTGCAGGGCCATGCCACCTCCATACTGGAGCTTTTGCACAAACTGCAAGCCTCTGGCTGGCCCAAGCAGCACCTTCCAAGTTGCAGGAAGCAGAGTTTGCTGTTTCCCATCTGGATGACTTGCTTGAGGGTCTTGGCGCTGCCTTGGGGCCTAACTTCCCTCTTGTCTGGCTCTTCCTAAACCCCGTGCAGGTGGGCTTGCCTCTGTGGCCCAAGAGGAGGCTCTGCCAGAGAGGCCTCGAGGTGCTGGGCAAGCCACTCAGGGACCCTTTGTTGTCAGGAATCGATGCTGAAATTGCAGTCCCATAGATGATAGGGCTGCTTCTATTTTCTGCTGCACCAGGAGATTCTGGAGTGAGCATTGTGGTTGCTTTGTCTTCTGAAACATGGGGGTCCCTAGTGATAGTGACACCTGTAAATGGGTAAAAGTAGGGGGTGTTGGAGGGGAAGGGACAAGGTGGAGCCCTGGTTTTGCTTAATATGAACCTGTACTCTTCTGCGTTCTACCCAGCTTGGCAACAGCCTGTTCCAGGAGGAGCCGCTGCCCTACCTTGTTCACCAGCCCTTGCCATGGCAGGTCCAGTGTGTGACTCCGGGTCGACGTGCCAGCAGAGACAGTGGGGTATGTGTCTTTTCCTACTAGTGACGGCCACTGGAGGCTTTGGAAATGAGCATGGCTGTTCCCTTTCAAACTTGGGTTGGCTCCTCTGTCTGATGAAGATGGCAAGGGAGACAAAGACTCAGATCTTGGAATTGTGTCAGGATATTTGGAGGGAAATGCTTCAAATGAAAGCCAAGAGGAGGAGGAGGAGGAATAGGCCCTCTTGAGGGGGAGGGGGCTACAGAAGAGGAAGAAGTACAGAAGAGGATGCTGCTAGCTGCAGCACAGTAGTTATTGTGGCTCCCCCCCCCCCTTAAGGCAGTTCTTAAGGCAGAATATGGAACTGTTCATGCATGAATATGCATGAAGACTCTCTTGGTCCATGTTGCTGCAGCAACAGTGATTTTTAACCCTGAGCGAAAACCAGACCAAACCCACTTGGGTCTTGTTTCCAGCTTGCTTGAAACTTGTACTCAGCAGTTGATGCTGGGATTGCTTCAATAACCAGACTTAATAAAGGGAAGTGCCACCAGAGGCCTCTCCCCGGGGTCCCTTTGTAACGGGGTCAAACTAATTCATGCTCAGGAACATCTGTTATCAGCAGCTACTACCCAGGTTGGTGACATGCAGCTTTCCGGTTGCTAAATGCTGTGGGGTCATACAACGGGGGTGGCGCTTTTCATCTTGCTCTGCTTGTGAACTTCTCTGGAGCATGACTGGCCAGCAGTGATCATGCTGGCCCCTTTGGCTGAGCACCACGGTCCCCCCTTGTCTGTCTGTTTAGACTTTGCTTCTTCTTTCCAGAAAGGTGGGTGTTCTCGGCAGAACAATATCTACTGGGTCGCAGGACGAAGAGGTGAGAGTACCGCAAACTCAAGGTCAATAGGCACTGAGTGGGGGAGGACAGGGATTTCTAACTAGCCTGCCACTGTTTTTGGTGTATGAAGGAGCCTCTCTTTAAATAAAAAATAAAAAAGCAGGCAACACACACACACACACACACACACACACACACACACACACACACACACACTGCTTTCCTCCAGCATTTATCTCAATCAGTGGATCTATTCAGACCGTGCTGGATTCTTCTCCCGCCCCCAAACACACACACACACTTTGTGCATTCAGATGCTTCCCTCCTCCATGAGACATCTCCCTGCCTGCCCCCAATGCCCGTGGCCACACCTCACACCCCCTTTGGTATAGCTGGACAATTTGCAGCCATGGTTCAAAGTCATGTCCTGAGCAAATAGGCTTTTCATGTTGCTATTCTCAGTGCCTCTTGCATGATAATCGGATTAGAGGTGGTGAGCTGGAATGGCGGGTGCAGAGAATGCACTCTTTTTCTGCAAGTGACCAAATGAGATTAAATTTGTAATGTCCACAGAGAAAATTAAAGAGTAGGGTTGTTGTTGGTTTTTTTTTAACAAAGACTGGTGAACAAGCTAGTCAGGTCTCTTGAGTTGATGTCACTAAATTCCCTATTTTTACTCCCCCTTACCCCTTGATAGTGGGTGATTACTTCCTGCCATGCTTTGGCATGATGGGCTTTTTGTGAAGTTGCATATTTTTTTAAGGGAAGGGGAGAGCTTGGCCTTGCTACACTGATAACTGCATGGGTGCAGGAAGTCTGAGTGCAACATGGGTGCAACAAGGCAGGGCCTGGAGTCAAACAGTTTGCAGGAAACAACCCCTTTGTCCCCAGAAGAATGATACAGACCTGGCTTTGGGTGATCACTCCAAATTGGAGTGTGGTCTATAGAGGAGTCTATTCTACTTTGGCATCCTGCATCACACAGCTACCTTGTACAAGAAGCCAAGGTGGCGGCCCTATAGCATGAACTAGGCTACCTGCACTATAGTAGACTTGAGCTCAGACTAGGAAAAGGCGAGAGGAGCTTCTTTGCTTGGCCAATTGCAGCGTAGTCTCTGCACTAGGTGAAAGCAGCTCTACTGCTGTAGGGCTTTGCCAGAATGTCTCCTTCCCAAAATAAGCCTACCTTCAGACACCCAGAGTTTACTATTTTTTTTTACAGAGTGTTGTCTTTTAATTGATTTTACCTGTTTGTATTTTGTCTGGTTATTAAGTTGCTTTGAGATTCTTTTGTGAAAAGCGACAAACAGATGCTTAATAATAACAACAACAGTAATATATTCTGTACAGCTGGAGGTGGCAAGATGCTTAAGGTATTGCATTCCAGGCTCCCCACCCCCCGCCCTTTCGGGGGGGGGAGCAGAGAGCACCTGCTTTGTGTTTTTGCTTCTCTCGGCAGCACCATCTGCTCCTAATATGCGTGGCTGTGCAGTTCATGCTGCAGATCTGCATTCTGGCGGGGGGGGGTGGTCTCCAGTCGCCTGCTGATATTAGAGCCTTCCTCACCTCAGGTGCCAAAGTTGGAGGCCTCCCAGCACCACAGATCACACATGAGCACACCACCTTTTCTAGAGCTGTCTCTGGGGCCTATCTATAGCCTAGAAAAACACCTTCAACCATGACGTTGAAGGGGGACTTGGATAAGCAACCATTCTTTGCAAGGTCAGTGACCGATGTAAGCGTTACGCTAAAATGCTCTGCTCTGTCTGCCATCTCCACAGGCAGACATAAAGAAGACCTCGCTGCTTTGCTACCTCCATTGTGTCGCTTGCAGGGTGAGGGTGTTCAGCCAACATCTCCCGAGCCACACAGTTTTAGGCAGAGAGCAGCCTTCCTGTAGGGCAGCTGGCTGGGAGATAATGCACACTGGTCATTGTGTGAGGCAAGAGTAGTGCCTTGGACTTTCAGGGACATCTCAGCAGCAGGGACAACCTACCGCATGGCCTCAGCATTTCAGTTTACAAGGACAGCCTGAATGCTCCATGTGTTGTCTCGCAGGAGCAAGGGCAGTCCATGATCCTTGGAAAGCCCTCACTGCAGACTTGCTCCCAAGCGCACAGATGCTGTGGGTGGGATGAGTGAGCTCTGCCCCACTCTCCTGCCTCACATAATCATTACCATAAACATCCATATACGGCAGGGACCCACACTGCATCTCTACTCCCAACTGCACTTCACCTCTTCAGTTCTGGCGTGTTTTCTGCCTTCTCCATCCTGGCCCAGGTGGTGTTGGCTGCTCTGATTTTGCCGGCAATGCCCTTTCTCCTAGTGAGCTGTCCTTCCCTTGTATCCCTAGGTGACTCCAGTCCTGTATCCAGCAGCAGGAGCGAGGAAGTGAGTGATCCAACCGAGAGGGCAGCTGTGACCATCCAGACTCACTATCGTAAATATCACCAACACAAGCATGGAAAGTAGAAGCCAGCTTCCGCCATATTTGGGAGCAAGAGAAGCATGGGTTTTGGAGAAAGGGGTGGGTGGGACGAAAGGGGGAAAGACCCTTGTGTGCTAGTAAAGCCTGTCTTTACTCAATTTTGGACAGCTTTTCTGTATAGCCGAGTGTCTTGAAGTTTTCTGCCGTCCTCTAAAAATGCGTCGCAGTCTCTAAATCACACATGAGGGGCCCTGACCGCTTTGTGAGTAAGACAACTGCTGGATGGGGATGGCCTTGTGCCACATTTGCTGATGGCTTTCTAGGTGAGGTTTTATTGCAAATTGGTGCTTAGGTGCAGAGCTTTGGTTAAGGATGGGCTACAGCACAGTGATAGAAGAGGCTAAATGTTTACCCTCCTTGAGTGGAGGGTGGCAGAGCTCCATATCTGGGGCAGGAGGTTGGCCCTCTGCTATGGAACTAAGGGGAACTCTTCTAAAATTGGTTTTTGGAACATAGCCCTGTTCAATTTGACACTGTCTTGCACCACTGCCATCTTCTTGTGTGCAAACCTTCATGCCCCATGAAACTTGGTGGCTAGTAAGCAGGACTAGCTCAATACAGTTTAGGTGCCTGCTGTATAAACTCCCCTCTACCTTTTGTAGAAACAAAAAACCAAGACTGATGGTCATTTGCCCTTTATTGGCACCTGCCCGTCAGAAGAGCTGGCTCTATTTCCAGGAAGCAAATGGCGGCATGTTGCCTCTTTGTGCTGTATAGCTAGCCCCTTTAGACAAGCTGGATTTTATTTGCTTTGTATCCTAGAAAGGGAAACGGCATTTCTAAGGCAGGTGGAATTTAATCTGAGCTTTTGAATAGCTGGTAATGTTTAAGAGGTGTTTGTATAAAACTACAAACTGCTTCATGTGTGCGAGTTCACATGCTAGCTTCACGCAGTGACATGCACTGCCTTTTTAATAACTGTGCAGGTAAAGAACTACAGGGCGTACCTCTGGGTCAAGTAAACTCTAGAACAGCAAGAGCTCTTATGCTATAGTGTCCCTTCTGACAGTTTCCTTCTCTTCTGCAGACGTTACTGCTGTCATAAAAGGGAAGTTATTTTTCCCGTGTAACTCTGTGGATACCCCACCTTGTGTGATCTTTTTCCACATTCAGGAGAGTTCTTGACTGCCCTGCATTACATGCCATTATGGATCTGGCCCCACCGCAAACAAAGGGCTCTGATGTTATAGAAACATAACTTTTATTGCACACTGCTGGCTTTTTGTTTTTATATAAAAATGTATTAACACAGAGGCAGATGCAACTTGAAGCAAATCCTATGGTTTTCCAAACAGTAAAACAACATGCAGTGTCTCAAAGGAGTCTCTTCAAAACCAACAGGGTTGCTTGATAGGGGGAGAGAAGAGAGCCACACAGTCTACTTCTGTGCTCTCTTCAAAGACAATGTGAAACAGCAAAACCTTCAGTGAAAAAGATTACCAAATGCTTTGCACCCTTGGCTGATTTCCCCCCTCAGGTTTGGAGAAGAAGAAAATAGTTTCATTTATACAAAAAAAAGTCCATTCTGTACAAGAGCTTCTTTTATTTCAATATAAATAACTCAGGAAAAGAGTAAAAGTCTGTGTTGTCTTGTGTCCATTGCTACACCAGTGTATAGGATTTTGAGTAGGCGCCAGCTCCCTGTTTCTGGGACCTCCCTATACCAGAGGTGCTCATTTCTAGTAGCGAGTCTCTAGACCCCCCCATTTTGGTGTGGGGAGGCAAACGTGGCTCAGCACTGGGAGCAGCAGCAGGTTCAGTGCTTGAGGCAGGGGCAGCTACGGGCGCAGTAGCCGTGGTGGTGGCGGCAGGCAGCAGCAGCGGCGGCGGCAGGAGGAGGAGGAGCAGCACTTGCTGAGCCAGGCATGGCCAGAGTCCGCTGAGGTAAGGTAGTCGTGGTTGCACTCACGTGGGGCACAGCCAAGGCTTTGCTGCTGGGGTCTAACGTTAGGTGCCTGGCCTGCGTGTGGTAGGCCCGGGCCAGGTTCCGGATGGAGGCCTCGCGGGGCGGCACTACTGGGCATGGGTCATGAAGGTCTGGCTTGCGGAAGAAAGTTTCGGATTTCATGTACAAAGGCAGGTTGCAGTAGTCGCCTGCAGAAAGAAGAGGGTGAAAGGAAATGCAGCTTTCAGTCGGAACGTGCTCTGTCAAGCACTTGGAAGCCTGCAAAGCCAGATCACATTCAGGGGAGAAGGGTGGCAAGCAGCCCAGTCCGTCAAGACCAGCTGTGAGTGAGGGAACAGTGGCTGCCAAGAAACCCCTCACTTTGGTGCAAGGGCCATGGTAGCAACTGGGGGCGGGGATTTTGCTGAAACAGGAAATGCTACCCTAAAGAAATGTTACGGCAGAGGAGTCTATTTGAGAACAGCATCCTCTGCCTACAGCTCTGAGGATTATGGGCTACACCAGGCATTCCCAACCTCTGGCCCTCCAGATGTTTTGGACTACAATTCCCATCATCCCTGACCACTAGTCCTGTTAGCTAGGGATCATGGGAGTTGTAGGTGAAAACATCTGGAGGGCCACAGGCTTGGGGTGCCTGGGCTACACAACTGCCCACAGCTTTCTCTCATTTAGTGCAGCCGTCTATAATGCTCTCCATTTCAGGACAGGGGCAGCACCCAAGACTGCTGTTGCCTAGTACTTACTTTTATTTGCTCGGTGAGGGATGGGCACAGCTACCCCCTTGCCGCGGTCGCTGTCCTGCAGCTTGGGCGGGGAGGCCGTGAAGCGGCAGATGCCAGGCTCCGATGGGGTGCTCATGGAGGTCATGCTGTCAGCGTTCTCGTTGGTGCCCGTGGTCATCTGGTCAGAGGAGCTGTCGGAGATGAAGCACTCGGTGATCTCAAACTTGGCGTGCTGCAGCTGCTCCTCCAGCTTGGCATGTTCGTAGGCGCGTGCCAGCTCCTCGTAAGTGGACGAGGCGCTCTCTGTGGACACCATGCTGTTCCGCCCTTTGTCTAAGGAAGCAAGGAGAAACTGGGAGTTAAAGAACCAGTGTGAAAATGGGAGGCCCTATCAGTGCACCCATGGGAGAAGTTCCGTGGCACTCTAGTCACCTCTTCCTGGGTGTGGTAAGATTGTTTGGAAACTGAGGAATGCATCCCTCAGAGGTTGTGGGCAAAAAAGCCTGTGTTTCTTCAGGACTGGGTGGTATATCCAAAACCAATATATTCACCTGACAATATACTGCAAAACATGATTTTGTATGTGCAAAAATCACAATGAGGGGAAAACCGTGAAGCCAGCCAATGCCTCTACCTAGCTCCATCCTTATTTCAGACATGGTGATATATCGCAATGTTGAAAACCAATTATCACCCAGCCCCACTCCCTGTGAAGGTGCTGAGATAGTGGGGCTTGGCTCCAGAGCAAGAGAGGAGGGCCTGTATTTATTCCCCAGAAGAAGCATGCTCTGTAGTCCATGTGCTTGTCTTGACTCACCTGTATCCTGGGATAAGCTGGCACTGTAACTGTCGCTTTCTGTCACTGTGATGCCATGCTGGGAGCCAACTGTCCTCCAGTCAGAGGTGAGGGTCCGTGCTGGGGTGGAGGCCTGACACTTGGTGAGGGTCCATTGACTGGAGTATCTGTTCCTGGTACTATGTGCGGACTTCACACTTTTCCTGGAAACCGGATCTGGAAGAGGAGAGAATGAGCACCACTTAGGCTCTGCAAACACAGACAGGTATTCCCAATGTATAACTTGATTCTGCCACCGCGCTGCTGTTGCTTCCATAGTCTGCCACTGCAGTGAGATCGTATTTATGCAAGTCTGCGGTAGGTGATGTTCAATTTAACTAGCTTTTCATCAGGCCCAATAATTTGTGCTGCACTATCTTTAAGGAAATCAGCCCTGAGTGCTCACTGGAAGGACAGATCGTGAAGCTGAGGTTCCAATACTTTGGCCACCTCATGAGAAGAGAAGACTCCCAGGAAAAGACCCTGATGCTGGGAAAGATGGAGGGCACAAGAAGGGGACAACAGAGGATGAGATGGTTGGACAGTGTTCTTGAAGCTACCAGCATGAGTTTGCCCAAACTGCGGGAGGCAGTTGAAGACAGGAGTGCCTGGTCCATGCGGTCACGAAGAGTCAGACACGACTAAACAATATATTTTAAAGGTATTTCCTACACTGGGGTGGGGAGCCTGCAGCCTTCCAGATGCTGCATACTCCCATCAGCCCTGGCAGCCAGCATGGCCAATGGTTAGGGATGATGGGAGTTGTAGCCTAGCAAGAGCTGGAGGCTCCCCACAGATCCCCCAATCCTGATCTTGCATCATTTTCAAAAGACTTAACTACAGCAATACCACAGCCATCCCATTTTTCCTGTACTCTTAAGGTTTCATGTACAGCAGGCTTACAACTTGGGGGGTGGTTTACGTTCCAGGAGGTTGTGTGCAAAGCCACAATCATGGATAGAGCAAACCTGGAGCTGCCACTGTGCAACCGTCCCTGCCTTGCGCCCTACGCAAGGCAAAGAACTGGAGCCATCTGAGATCTCACAAGAGCCTTCCAGAGCCTGGTAAGGCAGACAGCTTAAAAGCTTTTTCCGCACCAAGTTGACTGTGGTAAGAAATTGAATGCAAAGTCCCAGGGTGGATCACGAGGAGTGTGGCTAATGCGTGCATGCCTACCTTCTAGATAGCCCCTTCAGCCTAGAGTTCTGGTTAATATGTTTTTTGGACTAGTTTGCCATTGACATCTGATATGCCTGCTCCCGTCTTGTAAAAAGCCATTTGTGCAGAAGTTGTGTTAGGGATTGGCAACGTTCCTTAGCCTGTTTGCTACCTGAAACTTCCACCTACCTGGGTGGCTTCCTTAGTGAAGTGCCACTCCAGTGATTCCACCCTAGAGGAACCATGTTAGAAACCCAAGGTGCAATATGCAGAGGCACTTCCTTCCCCGCTGCTGACATTGCCACAAGTCCCAACAAGGCCTTAGTGGTGTCTGATCTTGGAAACACTTGATCTGAACTGTGGCCCACATTTGCTACTCGATAGGACATCATGAGCCTTTCTCATGTTTGGGCCAGCTGGGGCTAGAGCAGAGGCAGAAGACGTTGGCTGTTGAAGCTGTCCTCCAGTACTTACTGGTGCCAGGGCGAATATCAGACATGTCTATCAGAGGTCCTGTGTTCTGGATGAGTGCTGGATGGTGCAGGGAAACGCCAGTGCAGAAACTCTGTGGGTTCACAGCCTGGTTGAATTCTGTGTCCGTCACTGGGATGGTTGCCTTGTCATCTCCTATGGAAAAGGAGTTCGGAAAGTGAGCTTGCATCTTAAAATTGGTGTTAGCAAGTCCACTTTTTGAGACTTAGTTGGCCTTATCCTGTGTATGCCTCAGCCACATGCAAAGATCCACTGCAAATTGCTGAGCCTTGTCTCTTCCCATTGCCCAGGGTGCAGTGTGAGGCTTTGCCCACTCCCATCCTATAAAAAGGTAAAGGTACCCCTGCCCGTACGGGCCAGTCTTGACAGACTCTAGGGTTGTGCGCTCATCTCACTCTATAGGCCGGGAGCCAGCGCTGTCCGCAGACACTTCCGGGTCACGTGGCCAGCGTGACAAGCTGCATCTGGCGAGCCAGCGCAGCACACGGAACGCCGTTTACCTTCCCGCTGGTAAGCGGTCCCTATTTATCTACTTGCACCCGAAGGTGCTTTCGAACTGCTAGGTTAACAGGCGCTGGGACCGAACAACGGGAGCGCACCCCGCCGCGGGGATTCGAACCGCCGACCTTTCGATTGGCAAGTCCTAGGCGCTGAGGCTTTAACCCACAGCGCCACCCATGTCCCAACTCCCATCCTATAGAAATATATAAAAAAACTTGTCCAGTAGCACCTTAGAGACCAACTAAGTTTGTTCTTGGTATGAGCTTTATGAACACAAAAGCTCATACCAAGAACAAACTTAGTTGGTCTCTAAGGTGCTACTGGACAAGGTTTTTTTAGTTTTTTTATAAATTTCTACTGCATCAGACCAACATGGCTACCTGCCTGAATCTAGTCCCATCCTATAGGTTTGGCTGGAGAAGAAACTGCAGTGCTAGTTTCAAACAGCCCTTGCTTTGTTGGGGCGGAGCCTGCACACGGGTCAAAGGCAATCAGCCTCAGACAGGGGCTTGGCCAAAGGAAGCCATACTCTGGACCAGGGACAGACACTGACCAGAGCAAGATGCAAAAAAAAGGAGCTTACAGTCCAGCATGTAACCTTTCAAGACCTCACCAGGGAAAACCTGCCACAAATGGCTGCTGAGGTCTGGGAACTCACCTATCTGCTTGATTCCTTCCTTGTCCTCAATGAGGAGTTGAACACGGGGAATGTCAATGTGCAGCCGAGGGCCCTGCGGGGGCCCCTTCACTGGCGTGTCAAAGCTCCGGTTATTCTTACTGCAAAGAAGAAAGGCAAAGAGCAACCATGAGGTGGAGCTGGGTGAACCTTTCCTGCAGCCTTGCCTTGAAACATCTCATGTGAACAGGAGGTGGCCAGCTTCCTGACTGAGGCAAGAGGCTGCAACAGTCCCTGTTATATGATGCTCGTATCGTGTTCTTCAGACCAGGAAGAAGGCCTGATTCAACTGTGGGGGAAACTTGGGCCCATGCAGGTAAGAGGACTAAGTGAAGTGGGACTGCACCCTCGCCCCATGCAGAAAAGTTTGAGAGAGCATCAAGTCCAGAAGCTGCCAATGTATGTGTCTCACAAGAGTGTCGTGCTAAACAGATTCCTGGCAATACCTACCTGATAAGCATTTCAGCCAAACTTTTGGCATCTGCAAGAAAGGGGAAAGAGTAGCTGTTTATGAGCGGAGACACTGGCAAAAAGGCAGAGTCATGTCTCTTCTCCCACCCCAAACCCACTCCACCCCAAACCCCAGCTGCTCCTCTAGGGCTTGAACCCTTTACAACTTGGCAAAGGATTCCAAAGGCAATGCTCACTCCCACCTTTGTGGAGCTACAGAGACAAATGGATGGGAGAGTGGCCATATTCTGCCTGAAATAACACCCAAAATACTTTACAATCATTTGTAGGAGGAGTGCTGAGATCCCTTAGTGCTTTCCAGTCCTGTGGGGACAAGTGCTATCACACTTCCCCCTACCACACAGCTGGGCAGCCAAGTTCCAGCCCTGCTCAGCCTCGTTTGGCTTAGCCTTGCACGGAGTTGGCTGATGGAAAGCCCAGCGCAAACCCCTGTAGCTTCCTGCCCAGGGCTGCTGAAAGTCCACAGAACCTCTCCAAGGGCTTGGGCTCCAGCCCATGTGCCGCCACCTGCAGCAACTAAGCAGACAAGCCGCAGACACTTCCGGCTACCGTGTGTGCACCCATCTCCCTCCCATGGGCCTCTCTGCTGCTGCTACTCGGTCCCTCTCTCTGGAGTGTTTCTGTGGGGACCTCACCTCGCAAGCGTTTCAGGCGCTTCTCCTTCCGCTTCTTGCGGACGACAAAGAGCAACGCCACGCCGAGCGTGGCCAAGATGACGGGGCACGCAATGGTGAAAAGCTTCTTCACATCGTCTCCCTCCCCCTGGGCGGACTTGATGGGTGGGATGGTACCTGTTGGGTATAGGACAGGCATTCAAGCCCTGACTCAGAGGGAGGCCTCCCCCGCCCTGCCCCCAGCCCCTCCCAATTCCCCCCGCCCCCACTCACTGCCATCGTAGTCCAAGGTGGCAAACTGCATGGTCTCATTGCCGCAGCCGGCGCTGTTGCACGCCTTCATGCGCAGCTCGTACCACGTGGCTTCGCGCAGTTCCGTCAGAAAGACTTCGTTGGAGTAATTGGCCCGCAGGCTCTGCCAGACCCAGGTGCCCTTGGGCCGGTATTCTAGGACGACGGCCAGGATGGGGCAGCCGCCACTGTTCCAGCCTTGCAGGTTCAGCCTGGCATGCGTGGAGTTAATGTGGGTGAACAGGTGCTGGTCCTTGTTAAAGGAGGGCTCTGGAAGGGAAATGATGAGGGTTTCAAGAGTCAAAGGAGACAGAATCCAAGAGCCAAGCCGAGCAAGCATCAGTTGCAATGAAACTTAACACAGGTCACATTTTCATTCACGCTTCACACCCCGCATTCGTTTTACGGTATTCTTAAAATGGCCTTGAAAACTATGCAGCTGACTTGGAACCAATTAGAAGTGAAACACACAACCCATAATGGGACTCCCCTTTACTTTTCTTGCTCTTGAACCTCTGGCAGCTTTGCAATCACAGTTTTCAGTCATCTCTTTTCATTCACTCACATTGATCAAAGCGCTGGTCTCAACCTTTATAGCCCTTAACAGATTGGGATATGGGTACTTTAGGAACCACCTTTCCCCCACATGTTCCTCCTTGCACTCTCGGATCATCATCTGAGGCCTGGTCCCAAATCTGTTACCCTCGGGAGAGGAGGCTGGTGTCATTTTCCTGTTGTTGTTGTTGTTGTTGTTGTTGTTGTTGTTGTTGTTGCTGCTGCTGCAGCAGCAGCAGCAGCAGCACTTATTCTGTGCTGAGCAATGTCTGTTGGCCCCTGTCACTATACCACTTCAGGTAGTTAACCTGACTTTTAAAAACACACCTTTGGTTAATTGCTGGCTCAGCTGTGTGTTATTTTTGTGCTGCTGGAATTTCTCAATGTGCACTGTTAGGTTACTACAGGTAGGGCATTGCATTGGGGTTTTTCCTGTTTTTGATTACTGTTTTCTGCCTCTAAAGATATAGGTGGGGTCTAAATGTTTAAAATAATTCAACATGTTGCTGATGCAGGTGTGGGTGGGGCAGCGCCAAGTCTTGGAGGAGGGTTGTGGGCACTTGCTCATTTAGGGGAGTGGGCTTCCACCAACGCTAGCCAGATGGGATGGGCTCATCAGGCACATTCTCTTAGCTGTTTCTCTTTTTCAGTACAAACACCCCAGCCTTGACTGCAGCCACATTAAGGAATGAAGGAGGAAGCCACATCCAGGAGCAAACATTTCTTTCTCTCCTCCCGTCCACCCGCTGGCCCAAACCAACAATCCCCACCTAGGCTCAAACCCTCCAACCTTCCTTAAAAATAAATAAACCCAATTTCTTAACATCTTCACATCCAAGTGTCTTATTGGGCACTTCCAGGGCTTTCATGGAAGCTTTGCTTCATCTCGACTTCAGGGCTGACCTCCCTGCCTGGCCTGGCTTCTGGTGCTCTAGCTGCCCACCCCCCAACCTCCCCGTCACCCCCCTCATCACCTCTGCCGTGGGTCTTGGCCTCGATGATCTCACTGATGCGCCCAGCGCCAACGCTGTTCTTGGCCGCCAGCTTCACCTTGTACCAAGTCCCGCATTTCAGGCTCTCCAGCTTGAAGGAACGCTCCGTGGAAGTGATGAAGACGTCTTTCCACTCCTCGCTGTTGTCAACAGAGTACTGCAGCACAAACCCTGCAGGGGCGGCAGAGAAGGGTTAATGGGCATGGCAGGGGCCGGGGGGGGGGGAGGAAAGTGTTCACAGAAAGAGTTGAAGGTAACACCAGCCAGAGAACCCTACTAAATGGAAACCCCCTGAACACCAGGTTTATTATTTTTTTATCTTAATGTTTATATTGTGCTTTTTCTTCCATCATGAAACCCAAAGCAGGCCCTAAACTGCATTTCCTTCTGCCCCACACCTCCAAGGCACTGAGTTTCAGGGCACCCCTGATGATCCCACCAACTTGTCCAGGGAGGGAAAAGATCGGTGCTTGCAGATATTTCTTCATTTCAGGGTAAAGGCTCCTCAAATACTCTGCCACTGCTGCTGCCTTGTGAAAAGGCTGGGCTCAGCCACCCAAGCAAGCCAGAATGTGTCAGGGCTGTCTCAGGACAACCCCAGCCCAAGAGTCCCAGCTAAGAGCAGCAGGAGAGAGAAGGGGGCACCTGAAAAAGCTCCCCCCCCACCACCACACACACTTTATATCCTGTGGTACAGGAGGAGGCAGCAGATGGGGAGAAGGTCCAGGATCAGTAAAAAAATATGCCAAGACACAGCAGAGCGGGATCAGCTGCTAGTTTTCTCATGCAGGGAACTGCTTCCTGCCTGAGGGCCACACTCCCTTCTGAAGGACACATGCTGTTGGTGGGCAAGGCCAGAAGCAGAAGTGGGAAAAATTGTAATGAGAAAGCCTCTCGCCACTCCAGCAGGTGGCATCACTTGGTCATCTCCTGCTTGGCCCTGAAAGGCTCCTCCCTTCGCCTGCCCCACACAGCCTGCCTGCCTCCCTGTGGGAGCAGGCGGGCGACCACAACCAGCCTCTTTCCTAGTGCATTGCTGGTTTCCGTTGCACAACCTGGCTGTTTTCAGTAGTTCCAATCCAATTAAAGGAAATGTATCAAGCCACTGGAGTGAGAACTGCTGGCTAGGGAGACGGGCTTGTAATTACTTCCATGCTTTTAATTAATTGCAGCAGGAAGGCTCCATCCTCTACCCTCCCCACCCCCTTTCTGGGGTTGCAGCTGTTGCCCTGGGAGCACTCCAGAGCTGAGGGAGGGGGCAGGGGACATGGACTCGCACCAGCTTAGAAAAGAACAGAGGCTGCTGTTTTGCATGGAGGCATGAAGTATCCTCCTCCATGAAGGAGTCTGCTGGAAATGGATAAGAGGAAGGTTGATCTCCTAAGCAGGGCATTGGGCACAGAGCAGGGAGGCCCAGCTTCAAATCCCCACCTAGCCAAAAGGCTCGTTGGGCCAGGCTCTCTCAGCCTGGGAGCCTAAAATGGGTTGGAGGTGGGTGGAAGGAAGGATTGGAAGCAAATTAGTAATCATCATAAACACAGACAACGGTCAGTCACCAATACCCAGTTTGGGGGGAGGCGGCAGAGAGGGTGGTTGCAGAGCAACTTCAAGTTCCTGGGTGGCATTAATTATTTTGTACCCACTTTGGTCTGGGTTCAGGCCTGGTGTCAGGACTGAATCAGGCTTAGTTGCCCTGGATCGGTCTTGGCTACAGCTATATCTAGATCGGGGGAAACTTGGCTGCTGTGGTCCACGCATTGGGAACCTCGAGACTGGACTACTTCAATGCACTCTTGATGGGGCTGCCTTGCAGCGCATAATGCACCAGCTAGACTGCTAATGGGGTCAGATGGCCGACAGTGTGTGACATCTCCTGCTAAGCTATCGGGTCTGGCTGCCCACCATATGCTCCTGGCCAGCTTCCAGGCTCTTGTCCTGATACAGAAAAGCCCTGAACAACTTGGGTCCAGGATGCCTTCAGGACAGCCTGTGACCTTATATCTCAGCCTGATCACTCAGATCAACCAGAGGAGAATGTTAGTCACCCCCTATATTATGGAGGCCCATCTGACCTCAGTCAGAAGCTTGGTATTTAGTGTCGCTGGTCTCCTGCAGTGGAACACTATTCCAGCAGAGGCAGCCTCACTTTTTTCTTTCTGCCGTCTCTTTTTTAGCCTGACAAGCTATGCAGTTGTTTTAACATTTTCCTGAGTAGTCACTGAGTGTTCTGCACTGCTCTTAATGGTTTTCTGCTTTACGCGGCTGTAAACCACCCTGATATTTATGAGAGGGCAGTATATAAATACTTGTATCAATAAAATAAAACAAACCAGACTCAACACGGAAGCCCTTCTGCTCCAGCGCATCTGCACAAACAAGGACAGTGGTGGGAACGGAGTTCTTCTGAGGACCTTGGGCCCCTTGCTAAGCCCCTCTTGCCCTCCAAAAACCAAATATAATCCAAAACTTCTATTTACCCATCTCTCTCCCGCTCACACAACTCTTCTCCAAGTGAATGCTCAATGGGGCTCTCAGGAGTTTAGGAATAAAAATATTCTCTCCCACACCCCTAAAAGCTTTTTGAGAGGGTCTGGCAAGCCTGACAGAACAGCTTCTCCTGCAGCTGAGGAGCCCAAGTTATTTCCTTCACCACTCAAGCCCTCCTGATGCTTGGGGGGAAAGAACTGCCTCACAGACCAACAGAGGCACCCTACACAGCCCCTGTGCTTACCTCGGATGGAGCTGCCACCATTATCACCAGGAATCCAGGCCAAGGTGATGGAGGAGGCCGAGGTCTTTGATACCGTCAGCCGGGGCTGGTCAGGGGGGACTGGAAAAAAGACAAGCAGCATGTTGGCCAAATCCAGTTCTAGTACTCTGTTCAGCACGTGCTCTGTGGAGCTTGCGGGGAGGGCTGTGAAGGTGGACCCACAAAAAACTGGCAGGAAAGCCTGGAAAATGGTGGTGTGGGCAGATGGCACCTCTGTGGAAAACCCTAAGGGGGATGTTTCAAGGAGAGACTTCCCCTGCAGGAGAAGGGGCCGAAAACAGGCTTGCCACTCTGCCTCTGGCCCAAACACAGGCACACAAACGTGTAGAGGCAGCCCAGGGCCTCTGAGAAGGAGGAGGGCCCATTCTTTGCACGATCTCTGCTGGATGGGCCAGTAGCCCCTTGCTGATCTAGCGACATCACCCTTCCTCCCTCTGGCTCACCTTGCACCAGCAAGTTGACAATGATGGTGTCAAACCCCCATGTGTTGGTAGCTGTGCAGGTGTAGTATCCAGAGTCCTCTGCTTTCACAGAGCGCAGAATCAGCGTGCCGTTGGTCTGGATCTGGCGGTGCCCATCCACGGCCACTGGAATAGCAGAGTCATCACTGCAAAGGAGGAGAGTCGTGTGGGAAACAGTTCCAGCACAAAGAGGGATCAGCTGCTGGGCCAGGGACTCCCTCTTCCCCTTACCTGTCCTTGGTCCATTTCACTGCTGGGGCAGGCTCCCCGACTGAATGGCAGGGCAGGCGCACATCCTTCATCCACGGGGTGGTGACAGTGCCACCAAACGAAATTATCTTGGCTGGGGCTGCAAGCGGGAGGAGCGGGAGGTGAGGAAGGTGCGGCCCCCTCGAAACGGACTTCCCCCAGCCCCACCCCTGGGGTGTCCCCCACCTCCTGGGCCAAACCTTTTCCAGCAGGCTCAATGGTGACCTTTTCGCTCATGTTGCCACGTCCCGCCGAGGTTACGGCTGCAACCCAAAGCATGTACTGCTGCCCACGGTTCAGGTGCGCGATGCGATAGAACAGCTGCTCGGGGCTGGTTTCGTACTCGCTGGGAGCCTGGGAAAGAAGACCAAAGAGCAACCTCTCATTGGGGTCCTGCCCAGCCAGCCAGCAACCTTGCATTGCATTTTAAGGGAAACGGTTCTTCATGTGCGCGCACACATGCGCAAGGAATCGCGGGTGGATATAATTTGAAAAACGCTCTTCTGAGCTTTTACATGTGGCATTTCGAGCCCAAGTGCACATCAATTAATGCAACTCAGTTCATATCTAACCTGCTCTACTGAGTGTTTTGGAGAAAGGTTCTACGTATGTGTGTTTGTGTGCTTCATCTGCAGCCAGGACATGCATCAGTAAGAAGGGAGATTATGAGCAAAAACCCCACCCTGCTTTATGAAGCCCACTGCAGGTAAGAAGCAGACAGCCCCAGCTTCAGTGCCAGCACCTTCAGCAAAGCAATCTGGGAGAGGCCAGTCAGGCGGGCTTAGTCTAAGGCTGCTGCTGGCCTTCCAACAAGACACTGCAAGGCTGCAAGGAGCAGCTTGTTTTCTGGGCTTCAGAAGACAGAGTTGACTCTCTGCAGTTACTCCAGACATCATCCCTGACTGGCGCGCATGCATTTTATTCATGCGCTCATCAGGAGACTTGCACTTCACACACACGCATGTACATTGTGAGTATATTTAAAACCTAACCAATATTTAAATATGCAAACATAAATATTACATTGCATACATAATTTTTAAGCCAAATGACAGTCTTGACAAGATGCCAAGGAAACAATATTGGGTCCCAGCGGTTTTACCAGTTGCTTTGATGAAAAGATTATGTTGCCCTGGAAACCAGCAGTTCAGATATTGAAATGAACCTGAGTAGGAGGTTTTGATAAGCAGACCCTTCTGCCCAGCCTGCCTCCCTTGCAGGACTTCCCTTGGGGGACTCCGGAGCACAATGTGTGGAGACAGCAAAGGAGACTGCGAGCGCCACACATGGATGCCCCTGCCCCCTGCAAGCCTGGGGGGGGGGATTAAGATTTATCCCCCTGGTGTGTGGGCGCAGCATTTCTCCTTGCTGCCCCCTGCCATTCTTCCCCACTGCATGGGGGCAGCAGTGCAGTGACACCCCGCAAGGCAGAAATGGTGCCAGGTCAGAGGCCAGGACGGGCAACTGGCCTCTCCCTCTCATTCCCATCCGAAACAGGTCAGCCAGTGCCCTCATGCCCCCCAAGCAGTTCCTGTTGCAGCTGTTGCCTCTAAATCTGTGCAAGGTTCTAGCAAAGGAGCCCACGGCTTTGCTCGCTGCCAGGATTGCACCACCACATAAGTGTGGCATGTATGGGCCTGGTTACCCAAGGCAACCCCAGCCCATTGCAGCCCTCGGCCTGATGGGAGGTGGCCCTGAAGATGCTGCCACTGTTTGTCAGAGCTGGGGAGGGTGCAACCTGCAAGGGTCAGCAGTGGTTTTCCCCTCCCCCCAAGCAAGCCTAGGGAGGAGGGATGTCGCACATCACAACATTGTGCCTTTTCCTCATCCCAGGACTGACTGAGAACATCCTCTTGAGTAGGTGTGCTATCTTTCCACCTCTCACTCAGAGGAACATGGCATCGCATGGTCCTAGGCACACCTCCCTCCCAAAAGCTCATTGTGCCCAACTCACCGGCTGCCCAGAGCCTGGGCTGGAGCAGAAGATGGTGTATTTCCGGATGATTCCATTGGGTTTGGTGGGGGGAAGCCAAGAGACCACCACGCTGCTGGAGGAAGAAGGGACCGCTTTGATCCCAGCAGGAGGACCGGGAACTGGGTGAGAAAGAACGAGAGAGGGGAGAGTGACTCTTGAGGAGCAGAGATGGAGCACAGCAGGTCCTTCCTTCCCAACCAAGCGGCGCAAGAGCCGACAGGCGGAAAAGGGAGGTTCTGAACAGGTCACTCCCAGAGAAGTCTGCATCTTCGGGAAAATCCTGCAAAGGTGGCCCTGTGGGGGGTAGCACACCTGCAGTACCTGGGCAGGTAGAAGGCAGGAGAGCTTACCGGTTCCTCTAGGACAGCCATTGCCAACCTGGTGCTACAACTCCCATCAGTCCCATCATCGTGCAGCCTTGATAGCTGAGGCTGATCAGAGCTGTAACATCTAGGGGGCACCCCATTGAACAAGGCTGCTCTAGGAGGTGCGCCTGTTTGGGTTTTCACACTCCACAGGTAGTTCTGCACTGGAAGCCAAGGAATAACACACACAGACACACACCCTAGCATTGTGAGCTTTTAATCCCCGTGCCTTGGATCCTTGCTCCCTACACCCCCCACACCATCCTTGCAGGCAGCCGAAAGGCTCTTCCTTGCACCTGGTGCCTCCATGAGGATGGCAGGTCTGGGACTTCAAAGCCACAAGGCTGTTCCCTGCCACAGGACTAGGCAGGCTGAGGGGCACCTGGGAGCAGCTTAATGGACTCCAAAGTAGGCCAGGCAGGCGGTGTAAATATTTAAGCAACGAGGGGCTCCAACAAGGGCTTCTTGTGCTGCTCCTCGCTGATGGTGGCAGAGGCAGCTGAGGAAGCCTGGCATGGCCAGGCAGGGTGAAGGAAGGGCTCCTAAGCCCACAGCCCCGGGAAAAATGCATGGAGCAGGGCAGATGGGGGGAATGGTGCAGCTTTAAAGATGTAATAAATGAACAATAGGTCAATAAGCAGGTTGGGGAAGTGATTTATGTACTGGATATTCAGAATTTTCAGCTTGTATCTATTTTATGTGTACCAATTTTATACTGTATAATTTTAAGAAATGGGGAGGCATGGAGGGGAAGTATTTATATTATTTAATTATTATACCACCCTTCATCCAAAGATCTCAGGGCGGATCTCAGCACAAAAACACAAGATAAAAAAAAAATTTGCATAATAAAAGCAAGAATGAAAGCAAAACGAACTCAAAACCACCACCTCCTCCTACAAACACATTTAAAAGGACAGATTCAAGTGCCAGAATGTGGAGCTCCACCAAGCAGGTGCCTTTTTTCAGCAGTGCCACAAGATGCTCAGGATGCTGAATTCTGACTGCACAATCCGCTCCCACATGATGCGTCGCGGATGTGCGGAGTACGAGCACACCAGAGCTCCCCACTTCAAAAAATGCATCTGTGCACCAGCTGACCTGGGCAAGGAGAGGAGGCAGGGAATGACCAAGTGAGTGAACAGCCGCCCGCTTGGATCTCTTCGTGCCAATCAGCCACAGACCATCTGCTTGTCCAAACAGCCTTTGCCCCAGCAGCCCAGCAGAGACCCATTTGTGGGGAAACAGTACAGATGTGGTTGCTCTGGCAAAGGATGCAGGAAGGCTGGACCTCTGGCGGGAGATTCCTGAGTCTCTGTTGGGACTGGCTAAGCAAACGGGGGACTGGGAATGGGAAAACAGCAGTGCCTTTCCAAGTGGGAGGACAAAATGATCAACAAATGCCCTTCCTAGCTGCTTCTCTAGCAGAAGGAACCTTGGCAGCGTCCAGCATAAACAAATGACAGGACAGGAATTCATCCTCACCTCAAGGGCACAAGATAATAGCGGCTGCACCCCCAGAGTCATCCACAGGGGCTGCAGGACTCATTCCCAGACCCTTTCTCAAAGATTTTATTCCTGGCTCCCACCCCATGCCACATGCCCAGGCTTCTTGCAAGGCACACCCTTAATACCCCTGAGTTCCAGGAATTTGGCCCTGGTGCCAACATCAAGCATACCCTGACCTGCAAAACCCAGGAAAAGAATGGGGGAGGCAGCAGAGCACCCCTCTTCAGAGATGTCCTCAGCTGAAGTTGGTGGTTATCTCCTTTGGTCTACAACAAACCCCTGACCATCTGCTTGGACCTCAAATGGTGGAACCTGCTAGTTTTTCCTGCTGAGCTTCTTGGTTGTTAAGGAGGATTCCAGGTGTTTAAAGCAGCCAGCCGGGGGGAGGCCTGGGAACCACCGCATGCCAGGGATGGAGTCTGCTTTGACTCCCCAGCAGCTCCACTAAAGAGAGGACCAAGAGAAGAGTGCAGCAAGGACAAAACCCTCTGTCTGAGCTCTGGCAGGAGGACTACAAAGGGATGCCTGGCAGGTAAAGGAGGGCCACACCCAGATGTTCCTGCATATATACCTGCAATGGTCCCTGCAATATGCAAGAGCTCTACTACCCATAAACTTTCTTTTTTTGGAAGGAAAAAAAAAGACATTGCAGGCAACCCCAGAGGTACACATAGCAGACATGCCTGTGTTGTCTAATTTGGGTAATGTGTTCCTATGAACCCAGACAGTCCTAGCATCCCTATTTGTTGGCAGGGGTCAACAAACTTTTTCAGCAGGGGGCCGGTCCACTGTCCCTCAGACCTTGTGGGGGACCGGACTATTTTTTTTGGAGGGGGAACGAATTCCTATGCCCCACAAATAACCCAGAGATGCATTTTAAATAAAAGCATGCATTCTACTCGTGTAAAAACACGCTTATTCCCGGACCGTCCGTGGGCCGGATTTAGAAGGCGATTGGGCTGGCTCCGGCTCCCGGGCCTTAGTTTGCCTACCCATGGACTAGGAGTTGCTCTCAATAGCGCATCCCCTGCCCTGCTCTGCTGCTGTTCTCTCCCCATTGCTGCCTCACGGTCCCTCTTTGGATGGGGGAAGAGACTGTGAAGATGCAAAGCATCTGGTTCATGTAGCCCCGCCACCAAGTCCGACTTCCAGCTCAGCTCACGCACCTAAGCTCAGGCAGAAGCAGAAGCCCAGGAGGACCAAGGGCAGAAGAGGGGGTGCAGAGAGAAAACAGTGACACAATTTGTTCTGGCAGAAGCAGGCGCTTCAGTCTCATGGCTGAGGCTGAATGAGACAGATTTTAATTTTAAACGAGGGCACTGAGACCCGAGCTGACTGGGATGATCCAGCTGGGGAGGAAGGGGTGGTAATTAAGCCACTCAACCACTCCATGATATGGAGATGTGGGCGGCGGGGAGGGGGTGGCGGTGGAAGGGAGTGAGGCTGGCGCAGGCCCAAGACAAAACCTACAACTCCAGTCTTGCCTGCCATTTGGGTGGAGCAAGGGGCCAGAGAGCAGCAGAAGGAAGCCAAGACTTCAGGGCAGGGCACTCGTTGAAGCCCACTTGACAAGAGACGCCAAGCAGGACAAAAGGAAGCACCTGGCAGAAGCAGAAAAAAGCCCTCCTCCATTTAGCATCTTCCCCACTATAGTGGCTCAGACCAGGAACCCGGCTCATTTCAGACTGCTGCTCCCAGGCAAGGGCTCCCAGGCTCCTGCCCTTTGGCTGAAGCCCCAAGGAAGGTCCCTGTGACTTGTCCACAAGGTGGATCATCCCCACTTGAACAGGAAAAGAGCAAAAACCATGAGCCATGCCAGCGTGAAGAAAAACTCTGCTTAGCCCTTCTCAGATACAGCCAATCCCTCTGCGACACACAATGGGCTGATCTTGCAAAATTCAAAATCATGAAAACCATGGTGCCCCATCCCCATCCATCTTGCCAACGATGAATTCTAACCACTTTTTCCCCTTGGCTGTCCCACCCTCCCCTCAAGGCCTTCTTCATGCTGCCCTGCAGGCCAGAGTCTCAGCTGTCCTGAAGAAAGCGAAGGCTTCCCCGCAGGGTGTCACCTGCAGCCAGCAGAGGCAACTGACCTGGCAGTGCTTGGAGAGTCCCAGTGAGACCCCTTGCTCTCTCTCGCCCGAAGGAGATCCATCCTCCATGCCTGGCAGCGAAGGTGAGGGAAATGGCAATCACACTTTCCTCCTTTCCTGGCTTCAACCTGCACCAGGCTTCTGGCACTTCCATTCACACTCCAGGCTCAACCCTCTTACTTCTAATTAACACACACTATTAGCATAAAGTTGCTGGGGAGGAGGGAAGTGGGGGGTGAAGAGCACATACTAGCCAAGGATGGCAAAAAGCTTTGTCCACCTGCTTTGAGGTTTTCTCAAAGAAGTGGACTCTGAAAGCTACCTGAAATTTCCCATTCTTTCCTGGCCTGCAGAAAATTAATAATAATCGTAGTAGTAGCAATAATAAGAAGCAGCATCTCTTCAGCAGAGGACATGTTGGGGCAGGAGGGAGGCAGAACTGAGCAACAAGTCAATTTGACACACACCATGCCCTCTAAGAGTCCCTATGTTCTAGGGATGTTCCTGATTTAAAGAAGCCGTCCCAGTTTTTGATTTGATCCCGAAATGTCCCGCTGTTACTTAGGGCACTCCTATTTTCAGCAGAGAAATGTTGGAGGGTATTGAACAGAATGTCCCTATTTTTATTGGGACATTGTTTTTATATATGTTGCAAGCCACCCAGAGAGGCTGGGGCAACTCAGTAAGATGTGTGGGGTGTAAATAGTGAAATTATCATTATGGAATGGGATGTCCCTATTTTCACCAGAGGAATGTTGGAGGGTATGACACAAGACACATACAGAGCAAGGCACCATTGTCCACTTCTGATAAACTAGAAGCTGCATGGACAGGCAGCAGCCAGCAGAGGGCAGCAGGCTGCCACGACTTTCATATGGAGGCCAATGAAGAGAAGCTATGGCCACATCCAGGAATCTCTCCAATCTCTCAATCTCTCGCTCTCACTCACTCACTCTCTCTCACACACACACATGCTCAGAGTCCAGCACTCACTGTCTTCCTTGGTCTGGATGTGGAGCACGTTGCTGCGGACACCGTCACCAGCCTGGGTGTAAGCCAGGACCTGCACGCTGTAGTTGGTGAACTTCTCCATGCCGCGCAGCTCTGCTCGCTCCCGGACGGTGGTGATATTCTGCATCTCCCCCCACTCTGTACGGAAAGTAGAAAGAAGTCAGGCCTACAGACGTTTCAGGAGCTGAGAACACATGAGCGTCCAGCTTGAAGTCAAGCACCACACAGCCAGGTGGACGGGCACCGCAGAGAAGAACAGTGATCCTCTGGCAGAGCATGCCAACATGAACTCTTGCACAGCCTTTCCACAGCAAGCACAGAATGAAGCGCACCGCTTGTTCCAATTGGATATATAATAATGAAAACAGTGAGCATCTTTTAGATTGGTCTTTCTTTTATCTTCTGTGAAAGGTGCCTCTGATCACTTTGACTGGGAAGTTTATAGGTGTGTAGATTAAGTTCAAGGCTGGCAGGCCTTGCAGGGGGCAGGTAGCCAACAGACAGCCACACTTTCAGGGGAAATGAGAGCACTCCTAAAGGTAAAGGGACCCCTGACCATTAGGTCCAGTCGCAGACGACTCTGGGGTTGCAGTGCTCATCTTGCTTTATTGGCCGAGGGAGCCGGCGTACAGCTTCCGGGTCATGTGGCCGGCATGACTAAGCCACTTCTGGCGAACCAGAGCAGCGCATGGAAACGCCGTTTACCTTCCTGCCGGAGCAGTACCTATTTATCCACTTGCACTTTGACGTGCTTTTGAATGGCTAGGTTGGAAGGAGCAGGGACCAAGCAACGGGAGCTCACCCCATCGCAGGGATTCGAACCGCCAACCTTCTGATCGGCAAGCCCAAGGCTCTGTGGTTTAACCCACAATGCCAGGCCAGGCCATGTTGCCACCTGAAAAGCTCCAACTCAAGCACAGCCTCTGAGCCTTTTGTGCAGTGAGTTCCAAGCTACCCTGCGCTTGCTGTGCCTGGAGGTGTGCACATCAGGTTCAGGTGCTGGAGGTATAGAGGAAGGAGAAGGCAGGGAGGTCCCCTATTCCCTCCCCGCCTCCCCTTGTAGCCAGTTCTACCAGCACAAAGGCTGCAGAGCCTAGAAGGAATGAGGGCCTTTGTAAGAATCATACTAGAGGTGAGAGTCGTGCACCATCACTATTGTTCTGCAGAGAGAGACCTCTGAAAGGCTCTGAGAGGGTGGCATTGCCAACTCACCTCCATCCATGTAGAGAGACCAGAAGATGACACGGTATCCCTTCAGGACACCGTTGAGGGTGCTCCTTGGCGGCTCCGACCAGGAGATCACAGCCACATCGGAGGTGATGGACAAGGCCCTCACGTTTTCAGGCGGTTGGCTGGGCACTGAGAAAAGAAAGGTGGGTCAGGGAAGGGAGTGCAACCCTAAGTCCCCATTGCTGCTGCCAACACTGCTCAGGCAGTTCCTCCTCCCTGGCACCCGTCATTCAGAGGAGAGGGTTGCGCCTGCGGGGCTCCTCCTTCTCACTCCTCAGCAACTCATTCATTTGCAACAACAGCCCCCCAAAAGTTCCAGAAGTCCGCTGGGTGCTTGTGCCAATGTCACAGCTCATCCACTGGCATATATATTTTTACAAACCCCACCCCACCCCAAATTTTGAGAGAAACCTTGAGAAGGAAGAAAAGAACGAAGGACGGAGCAAGGAAGGCAAGCAAGCGGGATGAAGGTAATGAGATCCCACTGCCCCCAAAGACAGAACTCTAATTTTTATGAGCATTTAAATGATGATACATCATCCTAATGATCTGCTTTGAAAATGATTATTGTTTCATATTACTTAGGTGTAAAACTGTAAGCACCGTGTAATTAGGGGCCGGGTGCTATAAACTAATAGAGAGTCCGTTTGAACAAAATGAAGGTAATATAATTATGGAAAGACACTATTGCTAAAACAGGGACCCTTGAATACCCCAGGAGGAGTGCTAATCTAGCCAGGAAATGATCGTGCTCTGACAGGCTAATGAGGGCCTTAATTAAGTATGAAAAACTGCTGAGCAAATGGAGGAAGAAACTTTTATGTTGCTTTTAAAATGACTCCAAGGCCAGTGCCGATCTCTCCCTGGTGAAACCCCGGAGGAGGTGCTTCATGGAAGAATCCTGGGAAGAAGAAGAGGAGGAGGAGCAGCAGCAGCAGAGGCAGCAGCTGCCATGACTCGCCCAGCTGCAAGAGCCGCCTTTCCCAAAGGCTGCACCACTGATCAGCATGCCCAAGAGAAAGGAGGAGCCATTTGGCTCAGGAAGCCCAGCCGCCAGCCAATCAGAAAGAAGTACACACATGACAGCCAGAGATGCCTTCTGGGGACCAGGGGCCACAGAAAACCAGCCACAGTGCTGGAGACACACCTGCCTCTGCGCACACCATCCCTTCTATGCTCAAAACTGACAACCAGGAGTTATCTGACCACAGTGAAGACACAGGATAGTTTATAATGTGATGGAAACAGGCAGGAGAGCTACTACCTGCTATTAAGTGCCTCCCCGCACCCTCAGCCATCCCCAGCAAAAGGGAAGCCTTTAATGTTTGATGTATTACGGTATTTTAATATTTTGTTGGAAGCAGCCCAGAGTGGCTGGGGAAGCCCAGCCAGATGGGCGGGGTATAAATAAATTATTATTATTATTATTATTATTATTATTATTATTATTATTATTATTATTATTATTATTATTTTCACTGCCTGTGGATTTAGAGAAGCATTGGCAGAGCAAAGAGCCGCATGACTAGATGGCTTTTGTAGCTAGTGAGACCAACTGTTTGGCTTGGCTTGCCCTCCTGCCCTCCTGGTTCATTTTTCACCCCCACAAGGCAGCAGGGAGGGGTGTCATACATTTGCAAGCATCTGGAAGCCCCCTGCCAATCAAGAGTGGGTTGAGAAGACCAGGTGCAATGCTCCCCCAAGTCCCACCTTCTTCCAAAAATGGAACAATGAGGAGGCTTGCACATGCTGGAGCTGGGAGACTGGAGTTGAACTGAAATCCGAGAGTCAGCACTTTGATGTATCATGCGGCTTGGATGAAGGTGCGCGACAGACTGCGGAAACCTTTGGGGGATACTGCAACCTCAGAACATCCTGGGGACTTCTGGGCACTCACCATCCTCCAGCGTTGTGGCGTTGATCTCGCTGGACGAGGGGCCAGTGCCTGCACGGTTGAAGGCCTGCACCACCACACCATACTGGGCAAATTTCTTCAGGTTGTCAAGGGTGTAGACCTCGCTGTCCCCTGTGGCCTTCATCTCAACAATGCTGTACTGCCCGTTGCTCCCAGGGCTGTTCTCCCGGTAGCCAATTTGGTAGCCACGGATCACCCCGTTCTGGAGTTCCTTCTTAGGGGCCTGCAGAAGTAGAGAGGGCATAGAGCATGGGTAGGCATCGGAAGGCTCCTGGGCCAGATCTGGCCCAATCGCCTTCTAAATCCGGCACATGAACAGTCCGGGAATCAGCGTGCTTTTACATGAGTAGAATTTTACATGAGTAGAATTATTTAAACTCGTTCTTTTTTCCCCTCCAAAATATAGTCCGGCCCCCCACAAGGTCTGAGGGACAGTGGACCGGCCCCCTGCTGAAAAAGATTGCTGACCCCTGGCATAGAGATACTGTGGGGCAGTAGTGGGTGGGGTGGGAGGGCAGAGGGCAGAAGAGTGTTCCAGGACAACCTGCAAGCCTGCAGGTTTTGGGTGGGTAGGAGCTTCTCTTTCCAGAACCCAGTCTGGACTTAACAAGTTGGAAAATAACCCAGCCTCTGGTATGAAGCACCCATAATAAATGCATTCTGCGAATTTAGAATTGTTTTTCATTAGCAGTGGCTACATCCTGCAAATACGGTCCCATTGGTGACTGAGGCAGAAAAGCCCTAGGTGCCAGGCTGCCGTTGTGGGGCATTCAGCCCTCTGAAGTGGCCCACTCTGAATAATGGCCAGAGTCTTTAGTTGAGCCACAACTCTATAGCATCTGGCTCTTTCTGAATCGCTTGCTAGGGTTACCCTTAGTCAGCTTCGTATTTTAGAAAAACAACAACTGTTTATGCTTTAGATTCTCAGTGAGCTACACTCACACAGTAATCATAAACAGTCTTAATAATACTAATGTTAAAGACATACAGGATGAAAACTGTCTTTAATTAGCTTGTAAAGAGGGTGCACTTCATAGGAAATGTCATTTATGTTATTTATTAAAGTATTTATATACTTCTATATCCTAAGTGGTTTACAATATTAAGGTAAAGGTACCCCTGACCGTAAGGTCCAGTCGCGACAACTCTGAGGTTGCACGCTCGTCTCTCTTTATAGGCTGAGGGAGCCAGCGTTTGTCCGCAGACAGCTTCCAGGTCATGTGGCCAGCATGACTAAGCTGCTTCTGGCGAACCAGAGCAGCACACAGAAACACCATTTAGCTTCCTGTCAGAGTGGTACCTATTTATCTACTTGCACTTGACATGCTTTTGAACTGCAAGGTGGGCAGGAGCTGGGACTGAGCAACAGGAGCTCACCCCGTGCGCGGGGATTCCAACTGCCAACCTTCCGATCTGCAAGCCCTAGGCTCTGTGGTTTAGACCACAGCGCCACCTGTGTCCCTTTTACAATAGTATCTAGATAAAATAAAAACACCTAAAAAATTAAAGTCAGGTATCATTGGCTAACTGTCATGGAAAGTTGAAGGAATAGGTGAGTTTTCAGAAGGTGTTTAAAAATTGAAACAGAATCCCTATTGGCAGAATATTTCATAAGACCGGACTGATGAAGCTAAAGGATCCATTTCGTCAGAAGTTGTTCCAAAACTGGATGATTTGGATTGGAGGTGGGAAAACCCCACACAAAATCCCAAACACAACCAAGTCTGCCGGCCTTAAAAATGCAGAAGACCAGGTCTAAATCGATCTTAACAATATTTCTTTGAAGCATTAACAAATCAATAGGGCTGATTGCAAATTTATGTTACAAAGCTGGAGTGATCCATCTTGTTGAAACAACCTTAAAGCAGAGTGACTTATGCTTCAAGTGAATCTTATTTTTCATTAATCTGTTTTTCATCACTGGAGAGGCGGAAGCAAGCAAGAGATGCTGGGACCCTAAATTTACCGACTGGCCGCTTCATTTTGATTCCTAACTCGCTAATCAATTTTATTTTTCATTATACAGCTTCTGGAAAATAAATCAGAGCCTAAATTTTATCGACCTTTGCCTGAGCATGTTGTAGGCAGGCAACTCGAAGCTTAACATTTCTGTCCTCGCCTTCTGCTCCAACCTTGCCCTGATTCCACATGGGGAGGGGGGAATAATCTGTGGAAAAATATGAATCTGGCAAAGGTAAGATACCTGCCTGGTGGCTTACCTCCACAGCGAGGTTATCCAGGCCAAGCCTGCCATGAAGGCAGAGTGCAGGACTATGGTCCAAATAGGCCCTGAGTTCAAATCTCCACTCAGCCATGAGCTCAGCGGGTCACCCTCGCGTAAGCCTTAGTGCTTGGGGGGGACTTTTGCCCCAGTCCTGGCCACAATGCAGACAGAAATGGGGCTGGAGGCTCTTTATGAAACCTTCACATACACCCCTAGCCTGGCTTCCTTTTCGTCAGCATAAGCCTAGGAAGATGGCACAGCAGAGAGCCTCCCTTTCTGCTCTGCAACAGGCAATGGGAGTTCAAATAAAGGGAGCATCCTACATATTTACTAGTTGCTTGTTACCAAGGTCTCCCTTACATTTAAAAACACAAACATAAATGCATTATATCATTAACATTTCATAGAAATCATGAACATTCTCATATGAGCACATACAATTCACACAAACACACAAACAACTCCACCACCACCACTATAGCAGCCAGACTTTGTCAGGGAGTGGCTATACCATGAGAAATGGTTGGATACTGAACAAGCAACAGGCTTGAGTGAGAGAGAGGAAGAAAAGGCAGAAAGCACGGCTGGTACAGGACAGGCAGCTGAGGAGGAGATGAGGGCTGAGGCTGCAACAGATTGACAGGAGCCTGCCAGGCCTACTGTATTCAGCTCGCCTCTCCCCTTGACTCCAAGGTCTCGGAGACTTTTGCATGTAGCAGAAGAATGAACACAGAGGGTGCAGGGGGGCCTCCCCAAAGGAGTTTAAGGCTGCAGGGGAAACAGCCGGATGGAGAGGAGACTTAGGGCAAAGTGGGAGGCCCAGATCCCCAGCTCTGGCAACTTCTTTACCAGGGCCAATCTCACTTTAGGTTTCTCTGTTTCCTTGAATAAAGAGTCAACTTTACTGCTCGTCTCTGAGTTTCTGTGCAGACATGCAGCTGAACCAGCCCTGACATCCACATAGTAAACGATTCGAATAAGGAACTAGCATCTGAACATGCACATACCTTCCAAGTGACCTGGATGCTCTGGGATGTCATGGGCTGCAAGGTGACATCCATGGGGGGACCATCTGGAGCTGTGAAAGTAGAGGTGGCGTCACAAAGATGCCTTCTTTTTAACATCAACATGGTTTTACTTATTTATGGTGCTTTGTATTGTTGGTACACCACTTAGAAATTTGGAAGAAGAAAAAACACTAAGCAGCTGAGAAATACTTTTATTGAGGCACAATGAACTAGAATCTGCTTCATCCACAAAGCCTCTGCCATAACAAGGCGCCACAAGAGTCTCTGTTATTGTTTTTCTGCAGGCTTTACTCTGTATGGCTGAGAAGCAGAATGTCCTCCTAAATATTATTTGCACAGGCAACAACTGCCACTGGACATTTAGGCACTGATGTGTTTGCCTCATGTCACATAATTTGCGAGCATGACCAATGCGCACCAGAAAGTGGCGGGTGGTGTGTACACACCCAAAAACCCCAAAAAGTAGATTGAACATTCCTACATAGAACCCTACTGCTGTAGTCTTGTGGTGCAGCTAAGACTTCTCAGGGTGACATCCTGTCCCAGGATTCTTAATCAGAAAAGCAATGGTGCTAACTCTGTTCAAAAGGAGAATGCCTCCTTTCAGCATAGCCAGGACCATGGTCAGCGTCCCACAGGGCCAGGAAATGTGCTCTCCAAATGCTGATCCTTCTACAGAGCAGGAAGAAGAGTTCTCTGGCTAAAGCAAGAATCCTGCTGAGGTCCAGCTCTGAAGGTCTTCTGGCGGCTCCCTCATTGTGAGAAGTGAGGTTACAGGGAACCAGGCAGAGGGCCTTCTCGGTAGTGGCGCCTGCCCTGTGGAACGCCCTCCCACCAGATGTCAAGGAAATAAACAACTATCTGACTTTTAGAAGACATCTGAAGTCAGCCCTGTTTAGGGAAGTTTTTAATGTTTTATTGTGTTTTTAATATTCTGTTGGGAGCAGGAACAGCTGGCAGGTGGGGAAAGAGGGAGATCCCTGGCCGCGTCCTGCCTTTCGTAGGGCAGGCCATGCCCCCAGAGCCAGCCGGTTGGCTGGCATGGGGATGACGCAGCCAGGAATCCCCCCAATCGCACAGGGCTGGGCTCCAGCTGCCGTGCGTGTGGTGGGGCCATGAAGCCCGCAACTCCACCTCCTTCAAAGGGTGGAAGTGGCTTTGTTGTTGTTGTTAATCTTGGGTTCATCCTCCCTCTTTCCCACCTTTCCCCCATCACCAGGGTCACCGTATTAATTACCTGTTTGAGTTTACATCAAGCTGTGCAGGGTGGGTGGGGTGGGGGGCTAGAGAGTGAGCTGCAAGCTGAAGAGAGGCAGGTTGAGGCCTGCCAAGGAGGCATGAGGAAAAGTACCTGCTTCCTCGGTGCTAATGGTCAGCTCCTTGCTGGGTTCGCTGCGGCCAATCTTGTTGAAGGAGTACATGCGGATGCTGTAAACGGAAGCCGGGTGGAGGTCCACAATGTTGGCTTGGTTAATAGTTGGGGAAATGTTGCGAGTCGATTGCTTAAAATCCCAAGAATCTGGAAGGAAGAGGGAGCTAGTGAGGGACGTGCAGCCCACCATTCACACCCAGATGTATAGCAGAGTTGTATGTGCTGAGCTCCTTGCCTTCCCCTATGACCAGAACTGGCAGTTTGAGGGTGATGCACTGGGAGGGGGGGGAGAGGGGGAGACTTGGCAGTGGCCCCTGCTTCTCCTTGTGTTTGCATACAAGGAGATCCAAAACTGTGATATGGTAATGGACAAATGCCTTACAGGTTTGTTGCAAAGGTTAGAACAAGGACATTGTAGGGGTTTCTTTGAACATTTGAAAGTACTGTACACATTCTTTTTGTTGCTGATGTTATTAATTCTGCTTATTTGAGTGCAAAGGTGTGAAGTGGGGTGTCTGATCCACTCACAGCCATGTGATTTTAAACCCCGATTGTCCTAGATCCAACACAGCTACTCATCCTTACTTTCAACACCCTCCGTGGCCTTGCCACCCACTCATTATTTGCCCCCGATTTCTCCAGCTGCCCCAATGCAGCTGTTGGCAATGGCATTGGGGAGTGGGGGAGGCAGACGCTGGTTATTGCTGTTAAGGAGGGTGTGGTGCCAGAGCAGATTTTCACCACTGCCTATACAGGAACCAGCAGCTTTGGTAAAACAGAGATGCTGCTTTTAAGACACAGGAGCCTGTTTCTGATGGTTCCTGGGCAGCAAGGGCTTGGGTTGCAAGGCCAAGTGGCTGCCTCAGCTGGAGGTATTCTTTGGGAAATAGAAGCTACTTTTCCCAACATGTCACAACAGTTTTGTCAGTACACTTTGCTGGGGATCGCAAGGGAGGAGAGCGCTGCTGTTGCATTCAGGTCCTGCTAGGGGGCTTCCCAGAAGAGGTAAGAACAGGATGCTGGACCAAATGGCACCATTTGGTTTGATCCAATTTATGTTCTATGGCAGACTTTCTCAACCTGTGGATGTTGTTGAACTACAACTCCCATCACCCCTAGCTAGCAAGGCCAGAGCTCAGGGATGATGGGAGTTGTAGTCCAACAACATCTGGGGGACCCACAGGTTGAGAACCGCTGTTCTATGGGATGAGAGGGTGGTGGAACTTGCTATGCAGTTTTCCAACAACACTTTTTTATTGTCAACATTATTTAGTTGTCCTCATCTTACGCAGAATCCTACAACACCAATGCAAGGCAAGAAGGCCCCAGTTCGAATTGAACTTTGGTTTCAAGGCAAGCCTCTCTCTCCGAACTTCACCCCTCCCTCCGCAGCACATTACCAAGCCGCTGCTGCTAATAAATGTAACAACAGCATTTCTTGCAAATATGACTGAGATGAGGTTTGCGAAGCTTCCTGACGCGCACACAAGTTGTGTGCTAGACTACTTCTTCAAAGCAAAAACAAAGCTCATCATTCAGCGCTTTGCACCCAAGCACACTCATGGCTCTGCAAGAAGCAGAGCAGCTTACCAGACTTGTTCTTGTACTCAATATCAAAGCCGGTGATGATACTGTTGCCGTCGAACCTCTGCGTCCAGCGCAAATTCATGCTTCGAGCCTTCACCTCCCGGATCTCCAACTCGGGAGGGTCTGGTGGCTCTGCAAGGGGGGAAACATGGGGTCAGAAAGAGAAATACAACCCATTTGGTCACCCAATCCCAGAACAGTTCTGCCTGCTTGCTAGGCTTGCCTGCCCATCCGCCTCCTGAAAAGAAGCAGGGGCTGATCAAGCAATATTAGCCTCCATAGAATAGCACCACGTCCACCACATTAATTAAGAGGTTCTCTCCGCCCCTTGACTTGTAAGCTACTCATTCACTTTGGGCTGGCTCTGGGTCTACGTAAAAGGTTGGGCACACAAACACATACACACAGAAGCTGTGCTCAAGTTCTTCTTTCCACAGGTCACAGAGGAAAAAGAATGTGAGCAGGAAATTAGAAATTGGTATTCCTTGATGTTTCTCATTCTGTTGAATAGGCAACAGTAGCGCTACAAAACTACTATCAGTAAAGGACTGCAATGGGTGGTTGCAATCTTGATGGCCTGCGCAAAGAAGAACGTGCCATTTTATCATTGGTGCTCTTCTGAAAGTCTAATTTTTTTTTTATGTACTCTCTCTCTCTCCCTCTCACGCGAACGCAGACATACATAGAATAAATTCACACTTCCCAAAACAATATATGTTTTGCAGAACAGTTCTCAAACCAAAAAAAATATTGTATATTAATGGACAGCATGCATAAACATGCATAATTAGTGAAAATAACATACAAAAATGCAGTGTATTAGGGAAAATGACTTGCATCAAAATGCTGATGAATTTTTATGAGGACATTAAAAAATGAATCATAAAGAGATGCAGAAAGTCAAGTCAGGACTGGAAACATGCAAAACTGGAGGCGACAGATTCATCCCTCCCTCCTCCCTCTCACACAAATACCCGCTAGAGTAGCTCCACTGGAAACACAGTACCTTGGACGGTGAGCTGAATGAGACCTCTGTCTTCACCATATGAGTTGATTGCATGGCAGGAGAAGAAAACGGAGTCCCCGCGGTCAGCTGGCTTGAGCTGCGGACAAGACACCCTCTCTCAGAACGAGCCCCTGTCTGTCCAGGGCAGGCCTGAAAAGGCTGCAATCTCCTTCCCGTGCCCCAACTCATAGGTACACTTGTCCTCCCTTTTCCTTCCAACTGGATCAGAAAGGAACTCTTTCACATTGGCCAGGCAATGGCAGCACCTTGCATAGGACCGGAGGTGGCGGGATGCTCACAGCAGCCACTCCCAGTTTGCCATGGGAATCAGCCAGGATCATCAGGCCCTACAGGCAATGACAAGATACCCAACACGACCCACCCCACAACCCATTGCTCACTTTAAGTGTGGAGATGACCTCGTCGCCATTGTCCTTGGTGGCGATGGCGTATCGGACGTTGCGATCTGGGTCGATGACGGTATCCCCTTTCTCCCAGCGGATGATGATGGGCCGCTCTCCGCGGGCCGTGCAGTTCAGCTCTTTGGCCTGCCCCTTGATGGCGATGGTGGTGTTGGGGTGAGAGGTGATCATGGCAGGGACTGTGAGAAGAGGAAGAAACAGAAGAGCAGGGCACTGGTGTGTGTTGTACAACTAGAGAGGGGCTTGAGGAAGGTGGAGCAAAGGGGTGCTCTGTCAAGGCGGGGGGAGGGGGAAGCCAGGGGAGGAAGGCAAAATCCAACAAACCAGGAAAGAAGGATTGATCCCAGATTGGCCTGCTAACCAGCAAGACTAGCTTTGTCCAGAACTGCTCTCCAGGGTTTTAGGCAGACCAGAAACCCATTGACTATACTCAGCTGCTCCACACCCACAACCCGTAGTCTGGCTCAACCTCTAGCATCACCACCACACTCCCAGCATGCTCCAAGCTTTTTTAAAAAAGAAAAGGTTAAGTCCAGTCAAAGGTGACTATGGGGTTGCGGCGCTCATCTCGCTTGCAAGCCGAGGGAGCCGGTGTTTATCCACAGACGGCTTCCCGGGTTATGTGGGTAGCATGACTAAACCGCTTCTGGTGCAGCAAAACACCGTGATGGAAACCAGAACGCACAGAAACACCAATTACCTTCCCACCACAGCGGGACCTATTTATCTACTTACACTGGTGTGTTTTCAATCTGCTAGGTTGGCAGGAGCTGGGACAGAGCAATGGGAGCTCACCCCATCGCATGGATTCGAACCACCAACCTTCTGATCAGCAAGCCCAAGAGCAGGGGTTGGCAAAGTTTTTGTGGCTTGGGCCGGTTCATGGTACCGCAGAAGCCGTGGTGGGCCCCAGTGTGTGTGTGCGCATACATGCGCAAACGCCATTTCCTGCAGCCAATGGGAAGCTGGCCAGTGTCGCGGAAAGCAGTCCCCGCTCTGATCCATGCCGGGTTACCACGGCGCACAGGAGCCGACCGAGCGGGTGGCAGGAGTCCATGGACCGGTTAAATGACCCCCATGGGCTGCTTGTGGCCCATGGGCCTTAGGTTGCCGACCCCTGCCCAAGAGGCTCAGTGGCTTAGACCACAGCGCTACCCACATCCAAGCTTTAGCCTCTGCTATGTCACCATTCTGCTTCCACAGGCTAGCCAAGGCAAGACTGGGGAGACACTCAGGCCCTATCATGGCCCAAGGTGTGTGTGGGGGGGAGTCCTGGGGCAAGAGCCCAGCAAACAAATGGGGAGGGGCCGGACTCTCCCTCCACCCCCACTCCCAGCATAAGCATTAACTGCATCCTATGTGTTGGAAGCATAAGGAAAAGGAGGGGACATTTTACCATATGTGGTGGGATTGCAATGAAATTTTAAAAATTTGGGAAATGATATACAATGAATTGAAGAAAATGTTCCATCTAACATTTGTTAAGAAACCTGAAGCATTTCTGTTAGGGATTGTAGGAAAAGACCTGCCAAGGAAGTTGAAAAATATCTTCATGTATGCGAGAACGGCGGCGAGAGTTTTAATAACACAAGGATGGAAGAACGAGGAAACCCCGGCTAAAGAACTATGGCAAGAGAAACTGATGGACTATGCAGAACTGGCAAAATTGACACATAAACTACGGGACAAGGATAACTCTGACTTTAAAGACGAATGGGAACCTTTTACAAAGTATTTAAAGAAGAAATAGAGCGAACTGGACTCCTTGGCAGGCTTTGAATAAACATCCACAAACTTTTTATTGATAATAACCAGTCAGATAAATTAAGGATTTATACAATTTTGTAACATGCAGAGAATAGCATCTATAGAGAAACCAGAGATTGGAACTGAGGGAAGTCGGGGGAGGGGAGGGGAGGGTGGGTTGGGGGGGAAATCAAGGATGATATGTTGTAAGCTAATATGTTTTGTTTAAATTCCTAATAAAAATATTTAAAAAGAAAAAGCATGAACTGCATCCATTTGGCTGAGCACAGGGACCTGGGAGTCTCTGCAGATGCCTTTGGATATGCACAAGTAAACAACTAAGACTTCTTTCTAATTCCCAGTTGGGGGGGTGCTACACGTAGGGGGGTTCCTGCTCCTCTGTCTCCATGATACAATATCACCAGCTTTGTCAAGCGCCTCCCCAACAACCAGAGACTTTCAGTGCTGAACACTGCAGCCAGAAGTGGAGACGTTGCCTGGCATTATACAACTAGGGATCATAAAATAATGAAGCAGATAAATTTTATAATGCATAGTATTACACCCAGATATACAATAAAATGTGAAAGACAAATAACCAGGCGCAAGTTATAATGAAGAAAAAGCCGCAGCCAGAGACAGGCGAGTATGAATTATTGACTAAGGTTTTACACTCTCAAGGATGTGCCCTGGAATATTTTTCCATCAGAGATTTGCATAATTCACTCAGAGGAACCCGGCCAGAATACAGAGGGAGATTTTCACAGCAACAAGCCAGCCTGACTTTGCATTGCAGATGCTGGAGATTTAATGTGCAGGGCCATGATTTAAATAAAAGCCAAAGGAGGGACGCTTCCAAATCTGTTCCACCCCCTCCAACACCTGATAAGCAAGGAGGAGGAGGATGAAGATGCTGGGGTGTTGGGGAGGGGAGGAAAGGAGCAGGAACCAAGCAGCCCCTAAAGAATCATAGAACTGAAGAGTTGGAAGGGAGCCTGAGGATCATCTAGTCCAGTGCAGGAATAGGCAGCTGTCCCTTACAGGGGTCGAACCTGCAACCTTGGCAATGCTAACTCTGGCATCTGCCGGGCCCCCTCCTCTGTCATTCTGATCAAGCAGGGCTACAGGACAGAGCAGGTCCCACCAGTGCCTGGGACGCGTACCCTCACTGGGGGTGGAGCGCGGAGGCGAACAGAGCCCACTGCACCAGGCTAGCCCCGGCTACCCAAGCACCACCAGCCACAAGCATGACACCGCCCGGGGCTGATATTGCTTTAGTGGTGAGGACTAGCCTGGGGCAGCAGGCTCCACTCGCCCGTGCCCCACCGTGGAAACATTGCAAAGCCACTTAAAGGAGTGTTTAAGGCCAGAGTACAGGGATGATGGGAGTTGTAGTCCAACGACATCTGGGGACCCGCAGGTTGAAAACCGCTGCCGTAGGAGATGCACCCAGCAAGACCAAATCCCCCCGCCCTCTTTTGCCCACCAGCTGACATCACCCAGTTTGGGGCAAATAGCCTCCAGACCAAGACTGGCCACAGGTGGCTCCCCACCCCTGGTGCAGACATTTCTGAGCTAGGTGGCACTATGGTCTGACTCAGCAGAAGGAAGCACCTTATGCTCTTCTTCTTCCACAGGGGTCACCACCACCTGTGCAGGAGCAGAAAGGAGAGGTGGTCCTCTCTAGCCCAGCTTGCCTCCCTTCCTCCCTCCAGAATCCTTTCCCTGCTGCCAAGGAGCTGCTCCTTGCAGCCGGCACGTCAACAAGCACACCCGCTCTTGGAAAGGTTCTGCTGAGGAGCAGCGTTCCTGGCAGGCCTCCTGGAGTAACGAGCCTTTAATGACCCTCCTGCTCCAGTTAATCAAGACGGAGCTCGGCTGGACGCCACACTCTGGCGGGCAACCCAATCGATGCCGGGGTTCCCAGGCGCACCCACCTAGATGCTGCCTGCCAGCTAGAGAAACTTTCTGCCCAAGAGGAAAGGAGAGTTCAAAGAGAGGTGGCTGCAGCCCAAGAGCAGAGAGAGCCTCCGCAAGTGCAGCTTTCCATTTGCTTCATTTTAAGAGAGTTGCAATGGATTGCTGTAACGGCATGGTGTCAGATAGACAGCGCAGTGTAGTAGTTCAGAGTGCTAGACTTGGGGGCGAATTTGTCCCCTAGGACAATCCTTCCTCAAAGGGATTGTGATAGTGAAATGAATAGATGGAGAACAATGTACTCCGCCTTGAGCTGCTCTGAAGAAAGGTGGGGTATAAACTGACAAATAAACCAAGTATTGCTGCTCTTGACATTTAATTTCCATGGGTGTTAGTACAGTGGTACCTCTGGATACGAACAGGATCCATTCCGGAGCCCCGTTCGCATCCTGAAGCGAACACAACCCGCGTCCGTGGGTCGTGATTTGCCACTTCCGCGCATGACGTCATTTTGACCATCTGTGCATGCGCGAGCGGCGAAACCCGGAAGTAACGCGCTCCGTTACTTCCGGGTCGCCGTGGAGCGCAACCCGAAAATGCTCACCCTGAAGCTACTTCAACCCGAGGTATGACTGTACAGTGGTACCTCGGGTTACATACACTTCAGGTTACATACACTTCAGGTTACAGACTCCACTAACCCAGAAATAGTGCTTCAGGTTAAGAACTTTGCTTCAGGATGAGAACACAAACTGGGCTCCGGCGACGCGGCAGCAGCAGGAGGCCCCATTAGTTAAAGTGGTGCTTCAGGTTAAGAACAGTTTCAGGTTAAGAACAGACCTCCGGAACAAATTAGGTACTTAACCCGAGGTACCACTGTATAGCTAATGTTGTGAGCTGGGTGGGCTATGCCCCCCAAAAGGCGGCAAGTGATCACAAAATCAATGAATACGTCCCAGGCTAGCCTCCTGCCCTCCTCCTCAGTGGCCTGACCTGCAAAGAGGCACAGTGGAGATCCAAGGAGAATGGAAAGCCAGGCCAAAGTCTGCTGCTGTGGTGGGTGCGGGGGGTGAGGCCCACAGCCCCACTTCTTTCCTGCCTGCTTTGGGGAGGGCTGCATCCATCGGCTCCCTGCTGCCCACCCCCTCGGCTCGTGCAGCATCAGCATCAGGGGGGCTTCCTCTGCCCACAAGGCCGCTTCAGCCCTTCCAGTGCCTGGAGCATCACAGCTGGAGCTGCCCTGATGCTTCTCCATGTACTTGCAGTTACCCACTAGGCACCACAGCCACGCACGAATGCCCCCATTGTGGCTTTTGCTCCTGGCTCTTGCTTTGCCGAAGAGCACTGGGGTGGGGAGCCGAGCACACAGCCAAGCAGGCTCAGGGAGCAGAGATTTAAAAATGCACGGCATACACAAACAGTGCCATAATATATGGTAATGACAATCCGCAAAGGCAACACACACTGTTCTAATGGGGCACAAGAGGGTTTAATGAGCTACGGCTCCTCTGCTTTC